AATGAAACCTGGAGACTGGCGGGAAGGCGGAAAATGGCAAGAGGTAAAGCCCCCTGGGGACTAAGGGTCACCACACGTCCCCATCTGCTTTTCTGCAGCTGTTCACACCACGGTGTCTCTGCCATCTCCCAGGCTTCTCCCCCTGCCCCACACAGCCCTCTCCTGCAGCCCCACCCCAGCCCCACCCCGGCTCCCCTCCCTGCACACCCCTGCTCAGCAGCTTGCCACCCGCTCCCCCGCCCAAGCTTCTGCCACCCCTCCAAGAACTGTTCTCCATCTCAGTATGTTCTTGGCAATTTTCAAACCACTGTTCTCTCATGGCCTGCCCGACACACCAGGAGCCACGCCCCCGCTTCTACAGGGGAGGACGGAGAGGTAAATGCCCCTCGGTCAACAAAGATACTCAACAGGAGGCAGGGGCCCTGGACGACAGTGTCCACCCCTTTCCTTCCCGGCTATGCCCCATGCCCTGTGTCCTGGCCCAGCACCTTCCTGAGCCCAGCCTCCTCCGTCCCCTCCGCCCCTTGTCCCCTGCTCCCCTTCCAGCAGTGCCTGACACACCAAGCAGCCAGGGCTGGGACCCTTGATGATGCCCTTCTCCCTTCTCAGTGGCTTTGCGGACACAGGTGTCCACAGCCACCAGCTGTGCTGCAGATGTTCAGAACAGTCCTCTCCTCACCCCACCCACGGGGGGTTGGGGGGGGCCTCTGTCCAGAGCAATGACTGTCCAAGTCCCTCTGATCCAAAGCCCTTCCATGACCCCGCCCTCAGGAAGACGCCCCCGTGCCTGGGTCTGCAGAGGTTCCAGGCTCTGCCCCCTGCTTCATTCCAGCATAATCTAGCCCACATCTCCACCTCACTCCACGGACTGCCTCAGTCTCCCCCAAAATGGCTTTCCTGTTGTCCCAGGCCCTCTGCTCACATCAGCCCCCTACTTCTTGCAGCTGACCCCATGGTACCCTTCTTTCAAGGCCCAGTCCAAGCCCCACCACTTGACTCCTGGGGCCCCATCTCTGTCCTCCTGCCCCCAGAGTCCCCTCCCCTGGCAGCCAGCAGGAGGTGACACAGGTGACCGTGGGCACCAAGGAAGGGCACAGACCCGGGGAGCATCCCAGGCCTGCCAGCACCTCTCTTCTGTGGGGTTCCCAGGCCTGCTCTCCCTACCTCGGAGCCGGCCAGTACCCAGCTGTTGTCAGAGTCTGGGCAGGAAGCCATGGTTGCTGGCGTCCCCGAAGCTGCCGCCACCACCTGCAGAGAAAAGCGCTCTTCAGGACCCCAGTTCCCTTCAGCAAAGGCAGGATGCAGAGGGCAGTCTGGGCCGGGTCCCCAGGGCTGGGCAGCAGCTTCCAGAACCAACCCTTCTAACCCTAACCTCCACTGTTCTGGGCAGTACCAAACTTGCCCATCCTAACCTGCCCACAGCCACAGAGAAGGTCCCCCCTCCTACAGACCAGCGGGGCCACTCCGAAAGGTCAAAGCACATGCCCAGACAGGCTCGGGGGTGACCTGGCCAGGCCCCTCAGGTTAGTCAGGGAAGATGAAGGCCACACAGGTTGGCTAACTTGACCTTGCCGAGGACGGGCAGCTGATAAGAGGAGTGAGAAAATAACCACCCCAGACTCTCCCACCATCACCCCCTCCCCCGTGGGGGCGCAGAAGACAGAACTCCCGCCCAGCCTCAGCCCTTCACCCAGTCTGGTTCGGGGATCCCCAGCGCTGGCTACCCGCCAGAATCTCCCAGGAGTCTAACCCAACTGGGCCTGGGTCCTTATTAAAACCTCCCAGATGGTCCTCATGGCCGCCAGGCCTGAGAAGAGCGGGCAGATCCGTCCGTGGGGACCCTTAGTAAGGCTCCTTGTCATGCTGACTCTCCTTCCCAGATTCTTTCCATGCTCTGTGACGGGCAGAGTGTCATCTCAGGGAACGTGAGGGCCACAGGGAGAGGCTCTCACGACCGCTCTCAGTTATAAAGACTTTACAGTTTGCAAAGCAACAGACAACAGGGCTGTGGGCCGACCCTTCGGGGTAATCCACTGCCCTGGCCGGACGGGATGGGAAGTCGCTCCAGTTTCCAAAGCCTGAATCAAAGCCGGCTAAGAGGAGGGAGACCTATCCCATCATCACTGGGGCCCAGGACTGTCGCCTCAGGCTGGGCAGCTGCAGCTAGGACCCGGCACGAGACAGGAGGGACAGAGGAGCCCACCCCCCAGTCTTGGACCTTAGTCCTTCAGATGGTAAGTGGCTGTTTCCTGAGGAGCCGAAAGGTCTGCAAGTGGAAAGGGCTCTGTCAGCAAACCCGGGAAGGGAAGGTGGGCTTGGGAAGAAGTCTGGCAGTATGACACCCCCACTCGGCCCCCTTCTGTTTGAGCTGGGGTGAGACCAGCACGCAGCCCAAATGACCTGCGGCCCCTTGGGATCCATGGCTGGGACTGACACTCACAGTGTCTTCCCCACGCCCATGCGTCCCTGGCACAAGCAGCATCCCCAGGCGCCCTGGCCAGCTTTTGCAGCGTCCCCAGAGTGCCGCCCCCCCCCCCCCCGCACTGGGCTGTCATGGTCCCCTGTCCCCAGCTGCTGCGTGTGACTGCTAACAGGTGGTGGCAGGAAGGAAGTGGCATCAGCTTGGGCTGAAGTCCCTGTTTATCCCTGGCTGTGTACAGCCTGCTCCGGTCCTCCAGAACTAGGCGCCATGGCAACCAGGGTGATGTCAGACCCGCCGTCTCCACGGAAACCAGCCCCGATATCTGGGTCAACAAGACGAACGCTCGGGAGACCCGAAGAGGAGACAGTCCGGAACCCCCGCACTCGGGGTCTCCAACTCGGGTGCCTCTCTCCCCCGGCGGGGCTCATCCCAGATGCCACCAGGGAGCCCCGCTCTCCCTCGCCAGCGTCCCTGGGCCTTATTAGGAAGTTCCCCACCGCTGCCCGCCTCCACCCCTCCGCACTCGCAGGCGGGCAGGGTCCGGCCCAAACACACTTCCAGGCGTGTCGGGCTCTTCTGCGGTATGGAAAGGGCAGCTAAAGGGGGACCTTCCCCCTCCGACTCGCTAAACTCGGCGCGTCCAGGAGCCGCCCCCCAATCCTCTAAGGCGGGGGACCCCGGCGCCGCAGAAGCCTGCCCGGGGCCCCAGCGCCAATTGCGTCTCGGGGACGGACGCCCGGGGCGCCCCCCGCGCCCGCCCCGCGGCGACACGCAGCGCCCGGTCTCCGGCGGAGCGCACGCCCGGCTGCGCGCCCGGGTCCCGCGGGGAGTCCGGGGGCCCCCAGCCGAGTAGGGCCTCACCTGACCGCGCCTTCCGACCCGCCGGGACCTGTTGCTGCCGCCCGGGGTTTCCAGGCCCCGGAGGGAGGGAGGGAGGCCGAACCACGTGACCGGGACTGGCCAATGGAAGGCCAACGTCCCTGAGGGGGCGGAAACTTCGGGCCAATAAGAGCTGACGTTGGGGGGCCGGGCAGGGAGGGGGGCCTGCTCGGGTCCCGGACCCCCGCCCCCCTGCGGGGGCGAGCTGCGTGGTGGGCGACCTCCCTTCTTCCCCGCGTCTAGACAGTTTCTCCGGGGAAGAGCCACCGCTGGAAGGCAGAGGGCGGCACCTCCCGAGACAGCAGGGGCGAGGGGCAAGGTCGACCCTAGGACGGACCGACACAGCTGCAGGGTGGGGGAGGGGATACGGCGCGCCGAGGGTTGGAAATAGCTCTCCGGCCGTTCTCAGCCGGCGCGGGTGCCGAGGGAGGGTTCCACGGCTACTCTTGCCAAAGGGGAGGGGGTGGCGTCCCCAGATGAAATCTGCTAGACCGGGGGCCGCCGCTTCCCGCTCCGCTGGACCGCTAGCGCCGGCCGGGGTGCGGGAGGGAGCGCTGAGCCTAGAAGCACTAAACGGCACTTGTCCCCGTCCCCGAGGCCCTGGCTGCCTGCCTGGCCCAGGAATGTGCCCAGAAAAGAAACACGTTCTCACAGCGGGGACGCAGGGGGAGGGGTGGCGCGCTCGGGCGTCCCTCGGCTCCTCGACTAGGGAGGACTAGGACTGCGACTAAGATCAGCTCGGGGTCCCCAATCTCTCTGCCAGTCCCGCTGTCAGGAACCCTGGGCCACATACCCATCCTCCCCCCGCCCCCCCCGCAAGCCTTCCCGCCGGGGCGAGGTTCACTCCAACCTTTGTGCCCAGAAAGAGCAGGAATCCTTGTCTGAGTTTTCAAGTCTTTTTATTAACCCAACGGTACAAAAGACCCCCATCACCACATCTCTGCCACCCCCCCTTCCTTCCAAAAAGTAGCGGAGAGGGAGAGAATTTAGCAGACCCCTTCCCCCAGGAGCCACTTACAAAAGGCAGAGATGGGAGGCAGGGAGGAAGACATCACAAAAATAGCAACAGATGAAGGAGGGCAACAGAACCACAAACACAACACAAAGCGGTGGGGCGGGGGTCAGACACTGGAAGAGAGAAGCCCAGAACCCCCTCCCTTCTTTTCCACAGCCTCGACGCTGCTGCCCACCTGGGCAGGCAAATGCGTTCTGCAGTACACTCGCTAAGTCTTCCGAGGCTAGGGTCCCCAGAGCAGCGGCCAGGGGACCCGGGGCGCCTCTCGGGGCCACACCCGTGCCAGCCTTCCCCACCCCACCGAGGAATGTGCGCTCGAACCGCAGGGAACCGCGGCGCAGGGCTCCTCCGTGGGCGCAGGGCCAGCTCCGGTTGGCGGTGCATAAAAAGTAAAATATGAACACGCAGAGCCCAGTGCCGGCCTCTCGGAACGAAGGGATACTGCCAGACCCCCCCGGGGCCCAGCAGATACACAGAAAGGCAGGGAAAGAGAAGGAAAACACCAGTCTCTGGACTGCATCTCAGGACCACCGCAGTGACCGGCCCGCCACCTCCCTCACCCACGCGGGGACAGAGATCCTTCTATCAGGGGATGAGGTATAAGCGGTCTGTGCCCGTCCAAGCTTTCCTTCGAGCCAGGGAGGCGGAAGAATACAGACCAGCGCCACGGCCGCGCTGCCGGGACCGCGTTAACAAACGGGCGAGGCAGAGAGGGCCGGGCGAGCAGGGTCCCTGGTCCAGGGCAGTCTAAACTTCAAATATCCCGATCCGTTAGACCGCAAAGCCCAATTTTTGGCAATATGGTCATTGGGAGAAAAGCCCAAGAGAGGCTGAGAAAGGGCCAGTGGCTTTGGTATAAGGGACACACAATGTCTGGACAGCGTCTCTTACCCACAGTCTTGAAGCCCCAAATCACCAAGAAACCGCCCCAGCCAACAGCTCTCCTGCTTTCTCAAGCTATTTGGTTCTCTGACGGGGTTGGACTTAGGTAGGTCTTGGGAGGAAGCAACGGGAAGGTGAGAAAACAGGAAATTCCCCATCTATTCCCTATAGCTGTCTCCTAAGGCCCACAAAGAGGTTACTGCAGGGCTGGGAACCCACTCCTCTAGCCAGAACCCTTTAACAGGTCACTCCAAACACCAAGGCCACGGGGAGGGGGGTGTGGCTGGCGGGGCATTCGTGGCCTGCATGGGGGAGGCCCCTGCCCTCCAGATCCTCCTTTAGCCTCTCTTCCCTCGCAGCCACAGCCCTCGGCCTTCAGGACTGGAGCCACCACGATACTCAGCCAGGCTTTGGTTCCCCGGATCTCTGTGGATCTCAACGTGTCCATGTAAGTTTCCAGAAGGGTGAGTGATCCAGGCGCTTCTGCCTGCCCACCTCAGTTCCTTCTCTGGCCCCAGGAGCCACTGCGTTTCTGCCCCACAGGGACGGGAAGCCAGTGGAAACAAGGACCAAGAGCCAGACTTGGAGACCATGCCCCTGGCTGGCGTCACCCATCGTTGGCAGCCACCAGCTGCCCCACACCCTCGCGGATGTACACAGACTGGATCTCCTTGGTCTTGAGGCAGAGATCGCAAGCCCAGACAGCAGAGGCCTCGGTGGTCAGCAGCCCGTAGGCGCTCTCAGTCATGCCGGTGCACTCGCGGTGGAACCACTTCTGGCAGGAGGCCTCACACAGGATGGCGTCCTGGTCATCGTTCACCTCGCTGCGACAGGCGCCGCACGGATACACCAGGCCCGGGGGAGGCTGAGGCCCTGAGCCCCCACCCACCTTGCTGGGGGGTGCCAGGCTGTTGGCATCTGGGGGCCCCCCCACCCCGCCCACTGCTGTCTGGGGGGAAACTGGGCTGATTCCCATTCACAGCAGCAGCTGGGGAGCCTGAGTGAGGCTCCTGGGGAAAGGCAGTGGGAGCAGGTGGATTCAAGGGCTTTCCCCCATCCTCACCACCCGGGCCAGGAAAGCCGGGGTCCGGGCCAGGGAAGGGACTTGTGTTAGGGGGCAGGCTGGGGAGCCCCGGACCAGGTCTCTGGAGAGGAGAAGGACCAAAAGGTGCTCCTGGCTGGGTAAAGCGTTGGGGAAGAGAAGGGGGGCCCAGCTCTCCTCTGGGAGGTTGACCCATGGTAGGTGAGATCATGGGCCCAAATCCCCCCACTGGGCCTGCCATCATCTGCCCACCAGGAGGGCTGAAGTTCTGACCCAGAGGCTGGTTGAAGGGCTGGCTAGGAAAGTTCATGTTGCCTGGGGGTGGGTAGCCAGGGCCCTGGGGGGGCATGTTGAAAGCAGGGCCCATAGGGTTGGGAGGAAAAGGGGGGGGCTGTCGACGAAGAGGCTGGGGGCCCCCTCCACCCCCAGTGCCATAGCCTGGGGGTACCTGGCCTGCCATGCCCCCCTGTACACGGAAGCCTCCAAAGGGGACAGGACTGCCCAGGAATGGAGGGGCCGCACCCCCCACCTTAGGGGCTCCAAAGTCATCCTCAAAAGGGTTGGATGCAACCAGGTGGTCCACCATAGGAGTCGGGGGTGGTGCGAACTCCGTCAGATGTGAGTATGCAGGGCCCTAGTGGGGAACAGGTGAGGGAACGAAATTACAGAGGGAAGCACACAGCCACAAAACCACAGGAGGGCAGTGAGGGCAGCGAAAACAGCGTGTTCTGGACGCTCCTCACGGCCAGCTCAGATGTAAATGGGGACAGACCTGACTGTAACAGAGCAACAGAACCGGGCCGAGCCCTCGCTCTGACAACCGATAACCTCGAGACCCCTAGGCGGGTGTTCCGCTTTTTAAAGCCGCAGATCCCTCCTCTGTAAAACGGGGACGGTGCCTATCTCCCCAAACCGTCAAAGCGTCAAAAGCACAGAGGGCCGGAGAAGTCACCGAAACAAACCTCGGTAAGGGGGAGGTGTCACCTGCCAGGAGGGAATCGGGACAGGAAACGTGCAGGGCGAGGAAGCCCGCTGGCCCGACCGGTAAGATCGGCGGCCCCACGGCGCCCACCCCCCATCGGAGAGGAAGCCGAGACAGGGCGAGCAGCGGAGCCGCCGTCCTCCCTGCACCCGAGGCAGGTGCGCGCACGGAGGGGGCGGAACCACCCACCTGAGTACTGGACTTCCTCCGTTTCTTCTCCGGGCTCTTCATCTGCAGACCTGGAAGCGCAGCACAGGGCACACACAAACGCGTTTCCCCGGGGCTGCCCCACCTCCAGTGTCCCGGACGCGCCCGGAGGGGCTCCTCCAACTCGGACAGGCGCCCGCTCCCAGACTCGGTACGAACAAAGGTGCCACACGAGACACGCCGCGCGACCGCACTCTCGGCCGCCTCCTCCCTTCAACGACAGACATGCCCTCCGACTCCCCCGGGGCTCCGGGGTGCCCCATCCGCGACGCCCGACCCCCACCCCTCCCGCCCGATCCTTCCTTCGGGCCCCCGGAACCACCCCCCGACCCCCGACCCCGGCCCCCGGCCCCTCGAGTGCTCGGCGGGCCCAGCCCCTCGGCGCTCTCACCGGCCTTGCCCTGCTTCCTCCCGGTGCCGGGCGGCGCAGGGGGCGGTGCGGGGCCGCCACCTCCCTCCAGCTTGTCCGGGGGGGGCGGCGCCGAGGCGGCCAGGGGGGGGGGGGGGGGGGGTGCCGGGGTCAGCGGCGGCGGGGGACGGACGCGCGCTCGGGCGGCACCATCGCCGGGAGCGGGGTCGGGACGCCCGCAAGGAGCGGACAGGCCAGGCGGCGAGGCCCGGGAGCAAGCGCAGCGGCAGCCGCCTGCCCGCGGCCACAGCAGCAGCAGCAGCAGCAGCAGCAGCAGTAGCGGCGGCGGCGGTGGCGGCCGCGGCGACCGGAAGCGGAAGTCGGCGCGGCCGCCTCCACCGCGCAGCGAGGGGGCGGGGTGTGGGCGGGGCCACCGGGCGGCCGGAGCCGAGGGACGGTGCGCGGACGCGTGGGTGCGGGAGACCCCCCCCCAACCCTACCCCCGCCGACGGGGTCGCGGACGGGCAGCAACAGGGACCACGAGGCCGAGGTACAAGAAATAGGGACTTTAATGACGATTTCCCTTTGGTATCATCGAGACCCGTGGAGACGCGCGAACGAGACGGAAAGAGACGCGGACGAAGACGGAGGAGACCCAGACTCGCAGCGGCAGGACGCGCTCCAGGCGCTCTGCGAAGGGCAGGCGAGGCGTCCAGGCCCCGTCGCTGCAGGAGTGAAGCGGCTCGCACCCGTGGGGCCTCCCCGCCTCGCGCCGTCCTGGCTCGGGACCCCTCCTGGGGCCCTGCGTCTCTGCTGGAAAGGAGAATGCTGTGGGCCCAGCAGCCGCCAAGACTGGGTGGGAGGAGGAAAATGCCAATCATTGTAAAAAGGCTTTGAAAAGTCAAAGAGGTGACGTGTACACGTAATTGATTATTGTCATTTTGCCACGGAAAACATATAAGGAAAATAAATCTACAACCCTAAAATATATGCATAAAAAATAAAAATAAATCCCAAGTCTACAGATGGTATTTGGGGATTGTCCACTTTCTTCTCGATGGCCCCCCGTTCCTGCCTCCACAGATCCCCCGAGAAAGATACCAGGTCAGGAGGACTAAATCCAGTCCCTGCCACCCCCCCACCCACCCCCCCCCCCCCCCCCCCCCCCCAAGGAGGAGAGAGGGTCAGAGGTTGCAGGACCCAGAGCTATGCTTTGGCTGTAGAGTGTAACATGCATGCAACATGGTGGGCAGGGGAGGGGGGGTGGGGGGAGTGGGGGGGTGGGGGGGTGTACGACACAGGACGACTTAGGAAATGTATGTACAGACCCCTTGGGTGAGGGGTGCCCCCTGGCCAGGAGGCACTGAGCAAGGGAGGGGTCCATCTCCCCGCTGGCCAGGAAGGGGGCTCTGAGGCATTATCTAAGGGTTGCCTGTCCCCGGGTAGAAGGGACAGCTAACATTCCTGCCTCTGTTCTCCCAACCTCAACTGGAGGGGGGTCCCAGAAGCCAAGAAGGTGTCAGTACCCCCACCCTCGACCTCAGGGGCTCAAGAACTCTTTGCATAAAATATCTTCAGACCTAGGAGATGGTCAAAGGCACAAAGTTTAACCACTGGGAGGGAGGATTGTTGAAAGGGGTCTGGAGTATACCCTGAGCCCAGGGATAGACCAAAGGTGTGATTCATCCCCCTTCCTTGGAAAGGTGACTGCCCCCATTAAAGCCTTTCTCACTTCAAGGAGACACACTGCCCACGCCTCAAGCACCCACCTTCTTGGGGAAGGGGGTATCAGATTGGCACAGGAAAGGCCCAGGGAAGGGAGCCACTCTGTTCAATAATACTTTGGTAAGGTTCGGGAAGAAACAGGATTCTACGCCCAGCTTCTGACAAACCCTCTCATTCAGTGGGTGCTGAGCCATATCCACACTATCCCCAGCTCCAACACAAGGCCACGCCCACAGAACGCTCCCACATGAGGTCCTGAGAATCAAGGAGTAGGGTGGAAGGGGTGGGAGGGCCCCTTCGGGAAGAAAGCACTGAGATGGTCACAGCTTCCGCTCCACAGGCTGCTGGAGACACAGTTCACTGCCCGCAGAGATGATGGGCAAGTGATTGTCCACGTGGTAGCTGATGAGGTGACTGACACTCTCAAAGCGGTGGTCCTTTGTCCGAACCTGAGCAGCAGGAAGGAAGGGGTTAATTCAGGCGCAAAGTCAAAGGCTGCAGAAAGGAGACAACTATACTGAGGGATGAGGAAGGAGAAAAAGACCGGGATGGGAGGACTGTCAGCCTAGGCCACTGAGGCTTCTCTAGAAGGGGATCCCACAGCTAGCTCTGGCAGCAGGCCGAGAGGACAACAGGACCAAAAACCGAGAAGCTGAGGGATACCGCCTCTCCCGACCTGTTGGGTGGCCTGTCTCAGAGGAGGACACACACTCCGAGAAACTTGGGGGAGGGAGATGGGGACTGCTGTGGAGAAGAGCCGAAAGTCAGGAGGGACAGTGGGGCAGCGTGAGCAGGCGACAGGACGCCAGGCTGAGCCCTGAGTCCGAAGGGGCTGCGGAGGCCCCGCCCTCCTCTTGCAAAAGGAGATTTGGGGTTCCTAGGCTCCAGGCCTCTGACACCGGGCATCAGCACCTCTCCGGGATGGTTTCCTCGTTTGTCAAAAGAGGGGCTCGGGCAGGCTGAACACCTTCGAGCTCAGATGGAGAACTGAGGACCGAGAGGAGCAGAGCTCGGGCCCAGGGCTGTGCGAAGGGAAGGACACCGTCCTGCCGGAAGGGGGCCGCACCCGCGAGCCGAGCAGGGAAAGGGGGTGGCAGCGGGGGGAGACCAGGGCTCCGCGGGAGCGCGCCGCAGTGCCCCCCAACACATGGCCCCACGCCACTCACCACGCCCTCTGGGTCCACCAGCAGCAGGTGCTTGGGCTGCCCGCTCTGCAGGCCAGTGAGCACGTACTGGCCAGGGCTGCTCGCGCTCTCCCGCACCAGGAAGTCCCCGTGCAGCTGCAGCAGCGCCTCGGCCTCCCGCCGGCTCAGCTTCCCGTGGAACCAGGCCTCCCCTCGGAGCTGCTCAGCCATGGCCACTGCCTGGGGGGGGCGGAGGCACCCGAAGGGCATCTTCGAAGGGCTCTGGGGGTTGAGAGAGAGAGGGCTGAGCGGGGCCACTGGCCCAACACAGGCCAGGACCCACACCTTCAGGGCGGGGAGGGCAGGAGAGCAGGAACCTCAAGAGAAGATGGAGACGCAGAAAAGGAGACAGCAGCACTCACTCATGTCAAAGAGGTCTCGGGGCGTGCTGCCATTGACGGCAGCATTGGGAGGCCCAGCCCCACCCCCTGCCTGCCGGGCCTTGTCCAGGTTCTGCACGTTGACATAAGAAGGATCGTCAAAGAGCTCTTTCCCTGCTGAGCAAAGGGCAGCGTCACAGTGGCCCCAGCCCCGCCTCCTGCACCCGGACTCCGCCCCTCCCAGCTCCCTTCACACCTGGGCAGGGTGGCGGAGGTGGCATCTGTTTGCGGGTTTCCGGGTCTGCCCCCACAGGCTGCCCCACCGGCTGCAGGGACAAAAATAAGATGAGACCAGAAGCCCAGGCCGGCCACTCCCATCCCGGGCCCCAGCCCACCTCCACCCAAGCGACTCACCAGCGTTGCTCCCAGGTGGCTGGGGGTCTGGCCAACAGGTGGGGGGGGGTCGAGCTGCCCCAAGGGGGGCTCCTTCCCGAAGCCTCATGTCCACCACTCCCCCAAGAGGGGGTTCCTTTCCCGGGAAGTCATTATAGTACTGGTGGCCAGGTGGCTCTTCCTCTTCCTCATCCCAAGCCGAGCCATCAAAACCAGCCATCCTGAGAGGAACAGGTGGGAGGGGGCACAGGCAGTGGCCATGGGCCGGGTACTTCCTGCAGGCCAGGCCTGAGGAGGGCTGTTTTCTATACACAGTCGTCCCTCAAGATAGCCCCACTTCCCTCTCCAGTGACAGAGCGGAGAGATGAAGGTCGGAGGTGGAGAAATTTGCCTGTGGTTTCACAGTTAAAGGTGACGGACCTGAGCTGCAACACCAGATTTGATTTTAGGGTTCATGGCCTCGATTATCGTGCTGCCTCCCCAGACGGAGGGGAAGCAGCAACACAAGAGAGCAAGAAGAGCTGCGTTCCAGAGCGCCCGAGTCTCCTCTAAATGCTCCACAGCTAGCGGCCTCGAGGGGACAGAGAAAGGTAGAGACCTCAGGAGGAAGACATCCTCCCTCACCCAAGTTCCTGATGGCTCTTGGGGGCAGGAGAATGAAAAACTACAGATGGAGAAATGGGTAAGAGAGGCCGACAGGCCGGCAGCACAGGAGCCCGGGCCGCGAGAGGAAGAGTGGGCCTACAGCAGGGCAGGGCCTGGCCAGACTTTCCTGCCGGCCGCAGGAAATGCAAGAATAGCAGGAAGGGGGAAACAGGCCCGCAGGTCATCCCCCCACACATGCCGGGCCCCCGACCCTCTCTGCTCTGGGCAGTGGAGGAGACCTGCTCTCTCAGCAGGGCCCCAGGGCCCAGGGGCCGCCCCACCCCCTCCACATCCGCTCACCTGTCATGAGGGGTGACCAGCTTGGGCGGGTTCCTGAGGTACTGTTTGAAGCGCAACTCGAAGGCCTGGCCGATGGTGCTGATGACATCCTGAGCCAGCCCCTCGGGACACTCCAGGATGTGGCAGGCTGGGGACACAGCAGAGGCGGCCCGTGAGCCCCGAGCTCACGCTGGGACCGGGCACTGCCAGTTGGCCCTCATCTTCCCGGCCGGAGCCCCCACTTAGCTCCCCGGGTCCTGCTCACCTGCCTCCCGGACAGCCGGCCCCACCCAGCTCCCCACCACGCCTCACCTCTCTGATTCACCGGGTCTTTGGCAACATAGGCGACGTACTCAGCTGTGTCCTGGGGTGGGCAGGGTCAGAAACAGCCCCTAAGCTCAGTTTTATGGCCCACCTCACCCCCGACCCCTAAAAGCCTAGGCCCTCCCAGACACTGCTTCGATCCCAGCGTGGCCTCTTCTCTGGCCGCTACAGCCCCTGCTCTTCCCCCCTCCACCCTGTTTCCCAACTCACCGGGTCTCCACCGGACGCAAACGAGATAGACTGCATGTGGTGGTTGGCGATGATCTGAGGGTTAGGGCAGGGGACAGGGAAGGGACGGGTCAGGCAGGGCCCATCTGGGCGCCCCCAGCCCCGGCCCAAGCCCTGGACTAGTCAGTCCCACCCTTTTGGCTTCCTAGCCCAGGTGCTCCTAAGCTCCTCCTTCCTGTCTTACTCCTGGCCCTCCCGCAGGGCTTCTGGCCCCCTCGCCCGACCCCACCAACCTGTCTGCAGTCTGCGGCCACGAGGTTGAGGCTGCTGGTGGAGACGGTGAGAGTGATCGGCATCCCGGCAAATTTCAGGTTACTCCTCCCCAGGATGGAACTGAGCGGGCGGCTACAGGGCTAGCCAAGGACCCGAGGGTCTCAGAAGCCGGGGGGTTCCCCACACCAGAAATCCCCCACCCTCTGTCTTTTGGCCTTGTCCCCACACATCCCCATGCTTGTCTTCCCCCACTCCCCCACATTTCCCAACAGCACCCCCAGCCCCATTGGCCCCAGGTACCTTTCTCCTCCTCGTCGCCCCCTTGGCACCGGGCACGGCATCACACACCAGGCTGATGGCCTCCCTGGCGAGAAAGGGGTCCTCAGACGCAGAGCCTGTCTCCCGCTCGCTCGGCTGGGGCGGCCACAGGGCAGGGGGAGGGGAGGACCAGGCCAGACTCCAGGGGCACTCCAGGCTCTTTGTCGTGGTGGATTGAATTAAGGGCCTTTAATATTTGATGACACGGAGAGGCCACTTCCTGGCTGATTGGGTTAGGGCCTCTGTGGGTCTGGCCCCACCTCCTTCCAGCTACCAAATGAATGTCCCATGGTCTTCCCAAAGCCAGCGGCAACCTTCCATACACCCCATCCTACACTCGGGCTCCAGCCGCCAGCTGCTCTGCAGCCTCCCCCACAACCCACAGGACTGGAAAAGTGAGCGGGACCCAGACCAGAGGCGCCTCTGTTCATCCAGACTTAGACTCACTCCCCTAACTCTCTATCCCCTTTACCTAAAGCTAAGCTGTGGCTAGTAAGCCACCAAGACCCACTCCCCTGCTCCCCTCACTAATTCAGGGCGCTCCCTCCCCCCGTCCCCTCCTCCCCCGATCCCCCCTCCCCCGCTAACCTGGTGACCTGGGTGCGGGTGTTGAAGTCCAAGGCGCGCATTGACTGGAGAACCTCCACGCAGCCCATGTACTGAGGGAGGGACGGAGGGGAGCAGTCAGCCGCCTCCCCCCACCCCTTCACAAAGAGCCCTGGGCCTTTTCCCTACGTGCTCCCTAAAGGAAGAATAAAGACGAAGAAGTTTTGCCCGCTGCTTGCGGCTATGCCCCACAACGCCCCACAACATGCAAGACCACAGGAAATGAGGAGCAGAGAAAAGGGCAAGCTGGGAGGGCCTGGGGCACCTGGGAAGAGATTGTGGAGGGCAGTGACAGGCACTGGGGGGGGGGGCGAGTAGGGGGTGGAGTGACATCCACAGCAGGAGGAGGCTGGAGGACGCGATCGAGGCTCACTCATTCCCACACTTACTAAGGGCCAGCGCGTGCTGGGCTTTGTGCTAAGCATGGCAGGGTGGGGGTGGTCACCAGAAGGAAGGGGCCCAGGCAGAGCTGGAAGGGGAGGGGCCGCAGAAGCGGAGAAGGAGCAAGAAGGGTATGAGAAACAGGACCCTGAAACCAAGGGTGGTGCTAGGAAGAGCAGAAAACCAGAGGCTCCAGAAAAGCCCAGTGAGACAGAGGGGTCTGGGAGGGCGGAGGGCGGAGGGAATGGCAGGCCGTTCACTCACCCGAACCAGGTAGGAAACCCCGGGTCCCATGACTTTGTCGTTGGGATGCAGCCAGCCCCGTGTGGGCTTATTGACAAAGCTCCCGTGGCGCGTCCACTCCTCGCCCCCCAGCTGGCCCCCTTCCACCCGAGTCCTGCGCCCGCCGCCTCCACTCAGCTTGTTCATGTCCTGGAGGAGGGGCGGGGGGCCTGAGTCTGGCGCAGCCACCCCTCCGGGCGCCTCCCCATCCTCAGCTGCCCTTCCTGGCTCCCCCTTTGGCCCCGGGCGCCCCCCCGGCTGGGTTGGCCAGCTTCAGGTTGCTCATTCGGGGGAAGAAGGAGCACAGGGTGGTGGGACTGTCATCCCCCGGCAGAGGCGGCAGGATGGGCCCCAGAGATGAGGCTGATGGAGAAGACAGCTCCTCCGGTGGGGAGGGCCCTGAAGCCCCCTCCTCCAGCGATGACAGAGACTCGTTCCGGAGTGGGTTGTACTTGGACTTGGGGGGGCAGGAGATCCATGGCTGCCGCTGGAGGGAGGCTGCTGCCCAGCCCGGCCCCCCTGCCAGTCCAGGCAAGGGGGCCAGGCAGGGGGCATCCCCAGGCCCTTAGTCTGACCGGACCTCTAGGGCCCAGGGATCTCAAGGATCCTGGAGAGGGAGAGGCACAAGTGGCGCCAGCGCCCCCGGCTCAGACCCAGAGAGTTTCCGGCCCCGTCCCCGCCCAGCGTGGAGCCTCTTCTCCAGCTGCGGAGAGAACAGGCTGGACCCGGAGCTGCCTTGCTCCTCCCCAGGGGCGGAGCCCTAAGGCCGGAGACCAATCCCAGGGACAGTGCTGACTCACAGGCTGGACCGGGCTAAGCCCCCAGCACAGCCACAGCCCCGGACTCTGGCTGGGATGGAGCTCCCTCCATGCACCCCCACCACTGCCCCGCCGCTGCCCCCAGACAAACCACCAGTAATCTGGGGAGGAGGAAAGTGGGGGTGGGAGGGAAGGATGTAGGAATGAGAAAGAAAGGAGGGAAATAAGAGGAGGTCTGGATCAATCCACACAGGACAGGGGCAGGCCAAAGGGAGCAGGAAGCTGCGGGAGGGTAGGGGGGAATGAAAGAGGAAACAGGGAGCTGGGGGTGGAAAAGGGAGGGGATCCCTGAGCTCAGCACTTCCCTTCCTGTCCTGGTGGAACACTCAAATGCCCCCCTCCTCCAGGTCACCCCCCCAACACACTACCACATGGTGGGGGGGGGGTGGCCCCAGGGAGCCTGGGCCATTAGCACCCTCTGCTACTACAGCTGTGGGCAGGAGGTTAGGAAAATGGGAAAGGATGGAAGTGGTCCCAGTGGACGCAGAGAGGGGCCAAGAGGAAGAGCAAAGCTGGAGAAGTGAGAACAAAGTCCAACCTGGGCGGTGCACCAGGGCGAAAGCTGGGGCAGAGGACAGGCTGATGGAGCCCTCCCACAGCACCCACCAGGCCAAGGAGCAGCAGCCCCCAGCCAAGCACTTTTCTGTGGCCCCTTCCACGGGCCTAGTCAGCAAAGCAAGCTGGCAGGGGTGGCTGGCTGGTTCGAGCTCCTCCTCCTGGAGGGGGGACAGGGGAAGTTGCATATGTCCACCAAAACCAGGGGCAGAGTCTGGCTGGAGGAGGCGGAAAAGTGAAACTGTTCTCCAGGAGAAGTGGGGGCTGCAGGCCAGAAAGGGACAGAGGGAGCAGCAGACAAGGCTGTGCCAGGAAGGCTGGGGCTGGACATGGGGAACAGCCCCAGCCATCCCTTCCAAACCCGGTTCCCAGACACAGCTCTGCTAGAGGGGCCATGGAGGAGCCAAACAATTAGTTGAAGATACACAGGACCCCCACGCTCACCTTGGGATTACCTACTCTTAAAACTCCAGAAGATACAAAGATGCAAACTACAAGGATTGATAATACTAACACTTATATGGTGTTAGATACTATGCTAAACTCTCCCCTGGTCTCAGTCACTCCATTTCCTCAGGCCTTCAGCGCTCAGGCCTAGAGAGATAGAAGAAGGGGTTCTGCCCTGGCCTCGCACCCCCAGCACGCAGGGCAGGACGTCCTCCGCCTGCGGGAGCCCGCACAATCCAGAGGCAGGGAACAATCAACAGGTGTGGGCGTTTGGAGGAGAGACAGCGGAAGTCGGGCGCTTTAAATCTGCATAGGAAAGGAGACTGCCTACTGGGAGTCGGGGTGTCTGAGTGTGGGGGAGAAGCTGCTCGTGGCAGCTCGGCCCAGCAGGGAGGAGGAGGCAAGTAGCAGGAAATGGCGAAAGCCTCAGGAATGTTTCCATAAGGGAAGGCTGGGCGAGCGGGACCAAGAGGAATGCCCAGACAAGAACTCTGGATGGGGGGAGGGGAAGAGCCAAAGAAACGATGGAGACTGGGGAGTCCAAAAAAAATAAAAATAAAATAAAAATAAAACAGCAAAAAGGTCACTGTCCCCTCCACCCACGCCAAGCCACCGTTTTCTGGCAGCAGAGAACTTTCGCTCCTGTCGCACCCGCGGGTCACACGCCAGCAAACCCATGGCCCTACCAGCTCCCGAGGTGCAGGTGTGAGACCTACAGCTGTCTCTGGGGCGGAGTCGGTCCTGGGCAGGGAAACTCCGGGGCCGGGCACCCAGGAGCAAGCCTCCGTCCCCCTCTCGCGCCCAACCCCAAGTCTTGGAGGGGGCAAGGGAAGCGGAGGTCTGCCCCGGACCTCGCGCCGCTCAGAACCGGGCGGGGCACCTGGACTTCCCACCTGCCGGGCCAAGAGCGCTAGGGACAGCCGGGCCCGAGGCCCACGCGAGAAAAGGGAACTCTGTCTGCCAGGGCCCTCGGGGCCCAAGACGGCGCTTCGGAGGGGGCCCGGGTCCCACTCGGCGGTCTCCCGAGGGGGCGTGGCCCCAGGTCGCGTGCACCCGGGACTTCCCGGAGGCCAAGCTCCCGCACGGCCGACGTGGACGGGAGGGGGCGGGGCCTCGGGCGGGGCCCTGGGGGCGTGGCCTTGCGCGCCCTGCCGGGCGGCCGAGGGGCGGGGCCCTGGCCTTCTGGGAGTCAGGCTTCAGGACGGACCCGTGGCCAGGAGGCGGGGTCTCGGGAAGCTGGAAGCACTACCGTCAGGTTTCCCGCAGTAGGGCTGGGAAGCATGTCCGGGGGTGGGACTTCCAGGAAAGCTGGGCGGCAGGGTGGGGTCGTGGACAATAAACAGATAACAAGTCGGGGTTCGGGGCGCCCCCCTGAAGATGGGGGTGGGACTTCCGGGGAGGGGGTCGTAGGGGGCGGGACTTACAGGTCCAGACCGGAAGTAGGGTCCCGGGAGAGGGGTTCCGGGGTGGAGGAGTGGGTAACCTAAAGAGAGGGAGAAGACCCAACTCACCAGGGCCTCATGGAGTCTCCGCACCGCACCGCGGCTCGATTTGGTTCCGGATCACGCCACTGCCTTCTCAGGTGGCCGTTCCAACTTTCTCCCCGGCCGGGCCTCCCTGAACAAACTTTATTGCACTCACTTCCGGCCTCACTAACCCCTGACCCTGCACCTCAGCGTCCCTCCTTCAGCCGGCCCACTTTCCCGAATCAGCCAATGGCAGCGCGAGAACGCGCACGGGGTTGGGATAGCCAATTAGAGGCGTAAGTTTTACCTACGTTGGTTCTTGACGAACGTTAGGCGTCCACTCCAATAAGGACTCGAGGAGAAGCTAATCTAAGCCAATCCGAGGCTGGAAGGTGGAGACGTCCCGCCTTAAACCAAAGGGACCAATAGGAAGCGCGGGCGGCGTGTTTGAAAGCGAGGCCAAAGTGGGTGGGAGCGTGTGCTGCTGGGAGTGTTTGGAGGTTGGCGGCGCGGGCCTGACGGTCCTCAGACGGAGCGATCATGTCGCACAAGCAGATTTACTACTCGGACAAATACGACGACGAGGAGTTCGAGTACCGGTTAGTGCCGGCGCGGGGGACATAACGAGGTTGAGAACTTTGACAAGGGAGGGCAAGAGGAGTTAGTCACCGGTGCCGAGGCGACAGGACCGGCGCATGCGCGAGAGACTCCCGGGACGCGGGCGGGGAGCGCAGAGCGCATGCGCGAGGGCCGGGCGGCGCGGCGGCGTGCGGCCCCGGGGAGCTCCGAGTCGGCCCTGAGCTGGGGAGCGGGCGGAGGGGGCGTGGCTCTTGTGGGAAGCGGACCTCCCCCCGGCCCCCGCGCTGACAGGGCTCTGGAGCGTTCTCGAGCGGCCCCGGGCACGTCGAACTTGGCCTTGCGGAGCCTGCCGGGGAGGGGGTGCGGCGGCGGCGCTGGAGGGCTCCTGGAGGGGGGGCGTGGGCGCGCGGCTGTCCGGGGAGGGGGCTGCGAGGTCCCCCGTCGGAGCCCGCAGAGTCGGAGCAGAGCCTGCCAGGCTTCGGGGTGGCGGTGCGGCCGCGCGGGGGCCGGTGGCGCTTGCCGCGGGCTGGCGTCTGACCGCCGGGAGATCGCGAAGAGCGAGGGGCCGGCCCGAGTGCGTGGCGCTTCCCGCCGCTGCCCTGCTGGTGTCTGTGGGAACGTGCCGGGCTTGGGTTTCTTTTCCAGCCGAGTGCGGGGCTCGGGGCGCGCTGACCCTGCGGGGCTAGCTAGGCGGTGGGGCCTGGCGGTGTTGTCGCGGTTTAGGACCGGGGGAGGCCTTGGGGGTGGGTTTGTGCGGCCGATCCGACCGCGCGTGGAAGGCAGCCCGTGCCAGGGGCTGTCGGAGTGGAAGCTGCGGTCACGTATTGGGACTAGAGCGGGGCCTTTGCAGAGCATCTCCGCCGCTGTTTTTGGCTACACATCTGGTGTGTTTCCACGGAGCCTGAGGGAGTCTGGGTCAGCCCAGTTCGTGTCGGAGAATTTTTCGCCCGAAAAGGGGTCTTAGTCCTGGTTAGGAGAACTTGGGAAGACGTCTCATGGCGGCTCTCGTCAAAGCAGGGAAACGAGATCAGGGGTAATCGTGGAGGGGAGGACATGGCCATTTCATGCTTAGTGGTGGGTCTTCACGCGGCTCTCCCCGAGGCTTTTCTTCCGCAAAACCAGCTCTTTTCAAAACTACTTTTAGTTACTGGCTGTGTGTGCCCTGGGACTGCCCTTATGTGTTCTAGAGTAAGCCGCAGCCTGAGCCCCAGAAAGGCAGGAAAACAGTGCCCCTTCCCGTGAGTTACTCATGAATGTGTGCTTCCTAACCCGCTCTGGTGAGGATTTACATAACTGGGCTTTATCTGTAGCTGCCTCCACCCCACAAAAAGTTGCATTTTCCTTCCTGCCCTCTCTGCTTTATGTGCAAGCTCTGGTCTAGCAGACGGCACCCAGTACTGATGTGACTCACCCCCCCCTTCCCATGCTTCTGTTGCAGGCACGTCATGTTGCCCAAGGACATCGCCAAGCTCGTCCCCAAGACCCATCTGATGTCTGAATCGGAATGGAGGAACCTTGGCGTGCAGCAGAGTCAGGGATGGGTCCATTACATGATCCACGAACCAGGTTGGTGCAGCGTCTGAGAGCAACCACGGAGGCTCCTTCCCTGGGGAAAAGAGGGAATGATGAGATGGTATAACCCAGACAAGTGGGGGGGTGTGGCAAGGGTGCTTTATTGGTTCCTCACCCGCCATCTAGAAAAAGTGGAGTGACCAAAAATAAGAGGAGAGTATCTGGGAGGTTCAGAGACGACCTGTCCCTGAAAAACCTCCTTTCATCTCTAGTTCAATCCGAGTGTACCCTTTTTTTCCTAAGGCCACATAGATCCTGGTAGAGGTTATGGTCCCTGCATCATTCTCCATTAGAAAGTGAATTTTTGGATGTGTTTCAAGTAAGCCAAGAAAGGTATATTTCTTGATAAGACACCAGACCCCAAGCGGCTGGGCAGAACTAAAAAAGTCCTGCAGGGCTGTACCAGCAGCAGAGGTGCTGATGCTAACAGTTCTGGGCTCTGCTGAGAGCCTGGCGCGCGGGGCTGTGTCTGAGGCCGACACTTACATCTGCGTTTAGTCGGAAAGGTCTGAGTGGGTGACACCTGGGAAGTGCAGAGATCGGTGCGAGCGCGTCCCCTCGATCCCCCCTCTTTCAGAACCTCACATCTTGTTGTTCCGACGGCCGCTGCCCAAGAAGCCGAAGAAATGAAGCCAGCGGCGCTTCAGCCTCGAGCTTCACGCAGCTGCCTCGCTTGCTGACATCTTCCCGACAGCATCATTGTGTCGCCTTCTTGTTTCTCACTTTGGTATTTAAAGGACGTTCAGTTCACTGTTCGAATGTGCTGCTGCCCGCTTTGCTGGAGCAGAGCCGACAGCACCACGGCCCGGCCAGGGGAGCAAGTGGTCTTCGGCTGCGGCCTCCGCTGAGCGTTACCCCAGAAACCATGCTGAGCTGTGCACCCGGCGGCACACATGTGGTGGACAGAGGCAGCGTCCGAGGGTGAGGCTGCGGCTGCCACAGGGATTGTGTAAACTTGCTGTTTGGTTTTGTTTCCTACCAGGTGTTGTATGATGGTGGTTTGTTTCAATGTATTGGAAACTTCTCATTTTATTCAAGAAATCTGTTCCATGTTAAAAGGCCTTGATTAAAGAGGAAGTTTTTATAATCTAATTTTTTAGTTGTGAAGGTTTTCTGTTGTCTCAGGGTGAGCATTGCACTCAGTACCGTGTTTCTGATTATATTCCCTTCGGTTGGATAATGCAGTTCAGCTCTTTGCTGATAATGAGGTTTATTTCAACATTCAGGTAACTGGTTTGTAGTCTACTCTAAGCAGACTTTCTGTCAAGCTTCTGAAATGTGCGGCTCTGTTAGCCTTCGGTAGAGGTTACAGAAACGCCATCTCCTCAAAACAAGTCAACTTTCCTACGGTCAGGGATGCTGCCTTTATCGAAGTCCTGATACTTGACGGACACAAGAGGGTCAAGGGAGGAGGCTGTAAGCCAGAGGGTGCACCTGCGCTCCACTTCCTGCCCAGCCCAAGGCTTGGGCCTACCTGTGGCATATTACCTGCTGCGGGGGTGGGGGGGATAGCCCCGGCTGTTCACTGTGGCTAGTACTGATGCCTCAGTCATTACTTAGTGCCTTACTTGGTCTGGGGTGTGGCTGGATGTGGGGATTTCCAAGCATTTTTATGCAGGTAGTTGGAGAATTAACCTTTGAGAAAACAGGTATAAGCTGTAGTTGTTCTAGAAAACATGTCTCCCAGGGGTACCAGGCTGGCTCAGTCTGTGGAGCAGGCAGAGTGGATCTCAGGGTTGCAGAGTTGTTGCCCCATGTCGGGTGGAGAGACTAACAGTAGTACTAATCAAGGAAGTGAATCTTCACCCTGTCTTAGTTCAGTTGTGTTTCCGGAACCAGCAGCATAGGCCACACTGGGACCTTGTTAGAGATGCAAACTACTGGGCTCCACCTCGACCTTCTGAAACAGGAGCTCTGAGGGCTGGGCCGGGCAGTGTTTGCACCAGCTTTCCGGGTGACTCTGGTGATCACTCAGGCTTGAGAACCCACTGCTAAGGAATTGGACCAGAGCTTTTTTGTGGGAGAGGTGGTCAAATGTTACCGGCACTACTAGTAAAGATAATGGGTCGTGTGACATACTATTAGCAGAGTGGGACTTGTGTTTTGCCTTTAAAAAAATTTTTTTCAGGGACACCCTGATGGCTCAGTCAATCCCAGGACTCTGAGATGATGACCTTCAGCTCAGGTCAGGATCTCAAGAGTCCTGGGAATCAGTCCCGCGTCGCCTCGGTCTCCCTACCCAGCAGGGAGCCTGCTTCTCCCTCTCACACTCCCTCGGTGCTCGCTCTCTCAAATAAATAAATAATGAGGAAAAAATTAAGGGGGCACCTGGGTGGTTAGGTTGGGCATCTGCCTTCGGCTCAGGTCATCTCAGGGTGCTGGGATGGAGTCCCCCATCAGGGTCACCACACACACAGGGCTTATTGCTTGAGAAAGAATGGTCTAGAAGCCAGGCTCTTCCTCTCACTTTAGTGTTTAGTGGTTGCTGTGTGGCACTCCTAACTTTTCTTAGCCTGTGGCCCATCTGTAAAATGGGGATTGTCTGTCTTGGGCCTTAGAGTAAAATGAGGGTGGGCGTGGTTCAGCTGTCCTCCAAGTGGTGAGTGAACTCAGGGCTTACTGCAGAGAGCAGTCTAGGGACCGGGAGCATTGGCACGACCGTAGAGCTTGCTAAATGCAGATCCCAGGCTCCCACCCCAAACCTCCTGGATGGGAGAGACTAAACCAGCCTATTAAGGTCCCCAGTGGGAGCACCTGGCCTTCTCAGTCAGTAGAGCGAGCGACTCTGGGTAGTGAGCTCAGAATGCGCCTTGGGCAGATACTCCTTAAAATAAAACAATTTTTTAAAAGGTCCCAGATCAAACATTAAAATTTAGGAAACACTTTTAGACCAAAGGCAACTGAAATGAAGATAAACTGGGATGACATGAGAATCCGAGGCGGACACAGCACGGCCTAGTCGGCTGCCCTCAGTGGTACCTGCGAAACCAGTAATCGGGCAACGGTGACGTTAAACTGAGCACTCTCGGCGGGGCGGGGGGCGGGGGGGGTGTCTTGTCAACAGGTGAAGCACAAGCTTATGGCTTTATCGTTTATAACGGAGGTGAGTGAAAGCTCCCCTCCAAGACTCTCCTACCCCAGGCAGTGCTGACACCTGGTGACCCGCAGCTGGCCTGCGCTACTTTACACAACCCCTCCGGCGGCGGCAGCCCCTGCGCCTGGAGTTAGGCAGTGCCGGACAGCACGTGCACACGAGAACTTGAAAGCAGGACAGAAGCGAGAGGCACGCCTCCCTTCACCTGCCTCCGCGGAGAGCGCACCCCAAGTCCTTGGAGCACCGCCCACCACCGCCCCTTCCGCGTCCGGGGACCGCCCCCGCGCCCGCGGCCCCGCCCCCGAAGTTCCGGGGGCGTGGCCACGCGCTTGTCACCAATGACAACCCGGCGCTCCTCCCGGCCCCCTCCCCCCCGCTAAGGCGGGCGAGCGACAGCCAGCTGCACCAATGGGCCCTTGGAATTCGTGTGAGCGACAGCCGAGTGGCCAACCGCTGTGAGCAGGTGCGGCTGTGAGGCGGGACTGCGTGCGGCGGCCGCTCGGGACGTGCGGGAGCAGAGAGCGCGAGCCGGGCAAGGGCCGGGGAGGCAGGTGGGGACGTGGGAGAGCGGGGCGGGCTGCGGGGAGGCGGGGGGACGGGACTGCAGGCGGGAGAGGGTGCGGGCGCGTGCGGGAGAGGCGCCTGAGCTCCGGGGCGAAGCGGGCTGGGGGCGTCTTAAGGGGTCGAGGCACTTGAAGGCACGGTGCCCCCCGAGAGGAGGTATTTGCAGGTGCAGGCGCCGAGCTCGGCGCGCAGACCTGTTCAAAGGGGTGGATGCCGGGAGAGCAGGACGTTTTGAGACTAGAGCCAAGCCCAGAAGACATGTGAAGAGGCCCGGGCTTGGGTTGGAGAACCCGTTTCTTAGAGGCTGGGATAAAGGACTCTCTTACCCAGCGCCTGGCGAGGTCTTCCTCTGAGGAAGAACGGGCACTCCCGCTCTCCCCCGGTGTCCTCTCTGGCTCCTCCAGGTTCCCTTGACCCCAGACCCCCCTGTTTTCAGGCTATGGCCCCCAGTGCCCTGTAGACCTGGCGCGACTCCCGTGCTTTCGACCCCTTTTGGGGGCCCTGGGTGGCTTCTGGAGGGCCTTGCAGAGGGGCAGAGAAGGCAGGACCATGGCATCTAGGGCCTTTGACCCTCCCCCAGGGCGCAGCGTGACGGCGGGCATCATCATTGTTGGAGATGAGATCCTCAAGGTGTGTCTGGGACAGGAGAGGGGGGAGGGGGTGGCATCCTCCCATCCCTAAGCTCCTGCAGCCCTTCTGTTGAGGGGGGGGGGGGGGGGGGGGGGGGGGAGTCCCCTTGCTGCAGTAGGGTCCTGGCGTGAGTCCAGCCTATTACAGGGAAAGTGACCCTCTGTTCTTTCAGTTACTCCGTTGAAAACTTGTAGCAAAGTCACTACAATTTGTCAAGGGGCTTATAGAGGTAGGAGGGACCTTACAGGAATGACAAGGAGTCCATCAGGTCAAGGAGGAATGGGTGCATGTGCTATCACGGAAGTTCTAGCCAACCTGTTGGGAAAATGACCCAAGGCATTCAGCAGAGTGAATAAGCAAAAGGAAGGAGAGTCCTAGATGGGAGAAATTCTTTCTGAACAATCCGGAATTCTTTTGAGAGGTCATGGTAGGCATCAGGTTGGAATAGCAGCACCGACCCTGTTTTCTGAGGGCTTACTCGGGCCTGGCAGCATGCGGAATATATCACATAGACCGTCTTACTAATCCTTAGAACATTCCCACGAGGTCTGATACTTTTACTATAAATCTCAGTTAATAGATTACGAGACTGAGAAGCTTGCTGGAGGTAGCAGAGCTCGGAGTGGTGGAACTGGGATTCCAGCCTGATTCTCTCTTCCTCCGGGGTAACCCTTACCCACTAAGCCCCCTGCAGAGTAGAAGGAGACTGGGCTGGGAAAGAATATGGGCTACACACCGGCGACACAGCGTCAAAACTTCTGCAAAGGAATTTGAACTTTATTCTGTATATGGTTGGAAACGACACATGGGTTTTGAGCCCAAGAGTGATGCAATCCCAGTAGCATATTAGAAAGGTTAGTCAGGAGGCCCCGGGCAGTGCTATGACTGGAGGCTGGGAGCCTTGCCAGGGGGCTCTCGCCACTGTCCAAATAAAAGGTGCCAAGGGCCCATATGGTGGCAGTAGGGACCCAGAAGAGAGCAGATGCAGATAGGGAGACATGGCAGTAGAGGCGACAGCGGAAAGGCCCAACTGGCTATGGACAGTGTCTGGGGGTGCCACTGACCAAAGGGACAACCGCCAGGAATGTGGTGAGGATGCCTAGTGCGTCCATGGCGGACAAGGGGACTGAACAGTCAGGGCCGGTGAGGAATTGGCCACAGACTCCATAAGCATAGATGAGGTCAAGGTGAAAGTACGGAGAAAGAGGCCCAGGGCAGGTCATGCTGTCCCTGACCCTTCAGATGGATTTCCTCACTTCGGTGCCCAGTCCAGGCTTTTTGGCGGCCCAAGGCAGCATTCCCCAAGAGCACGGTGCCCCTGTCAGGCAGACACATCTTGTCGCTCTCGACCCTTTGCCCTTCATCCCCGTGGCATTGACTCTCATGGTCCCCGTCTCACCTCCCAGGGACACACTCAGGACACCAATACCTACTTTCTGTGCCGGACACTGCGCTCCCTGGGGGTCCAGGTGTGCCGAGTCTCTGTTGTCCCTGACGAGGTCGCCGCCATCGCGGCTGAGGTCACTTCTTTCTCCAGCCGCTTCACCCACGTCCTCACGGCAGGGGGCATCGGCCCCACTCATGACGACGTGACCTTCGAGGCAGTAGCGCAGGCCTTTGGGGACAAACTCAGGCCACACCCTGAGCTGGAAGCAGCCATCAGAGCCCTGGGAGGGAAGGGCTGGGCCAAGCTGTCTCTCGTGCCCTCCTCCGCCCGCCTGCATTACGGCACCGATCCCCGCACCGGCCGGCCCTTCAAGCTGCCGCTGGTCTCCGTCCGGAACGTCTACCTCTTCCCGGGCATTCCGGAGCTGCTGCGAAGGGTGCTGGAGGGGCTGAAGGGCCTGTTCCAGAACACTGCTGTGCAGTTTCACCTGCGGGAGCTCTATGTGGCCGCTGACGAGGCCTCGATCGCCCCCATCCTGGCCGAGGCCCAGGCCCACTTTGGGCGCAGGCTGGGCCTGGGCTCCTACCCTGACTGGGGCAGCAACTATTATCAGGTGAAGCTCACTCTGGACTCGGAGGAGGAAGGGCCCCTGGAGGAGGGCCTGGCCTACCTGACCGCCCGCCTGCCCCCGGGGTCGCTGGTCCCCTACGTGCCCGACGCCGTGCCGCAGGCCAGCGAGGCCGTGTACAGACTCGCCGAATCAGGTAGAGGCCTCCGCGGGGAGGGGCGGCGCGCAGTGCGCTGGGCTGACTCCCTGGGCCTCGGGAACGTGGGGAGCTGTCGGGGACTCCTGCGCACCGAGACGGCGTGGGTGCCCTCCGGGGCCTGGGGCTGGGCAGCTCGCCGGTGCAGTCGTACACCAGGCCCTGCTGGGCCAGTAGCGTGACAAGAAAGGTCCCCGGGTATGACATGTCGCTGACGAGGGGCCTCCGTCCGTGGCAGGGAGGTCAGCCCAGGAGGTGGGCGAGAGCAGACAATGTGGGAACTCAGGGAACAGAAGGAAACCGGGGGCCGTAGAGGGCAGACACCGAGGTGGGGCTGCAGGGCTGGCGGGCGCACTCAGCAGGGCATGGGAGTCCGGACGGTACCCGACCCACTCTGGGAAGCCACGGAGACTTGAAGCAAGGGCGGCGTGCTCCCGTCCCCGCCCGCGCCCTCCCACGGCCACGTGCATCTAGCCGGTGGCTTCTCGTCTGTGTGCTCACAGGGTCTTCTCTGGGGGAAAAGGTGGCCGGTGCCCTGCAGACCATCGAGACGGCCCTGGCTCGGTACGACCTCACCCGCCTCTGCGTGGGCTTCAACGGAGGCAAGGACTGCACCGCGCTCCTGCATCTCTTCCATGCCGCCGCGCAGAGGTGAGCTGACCCCGGGGTGTGAGGCCTCAGGGGGCCCATCTGCCCTCCTGTCCAGCTCCCTGCGTGAGGCCCGAGGAAGCCGCAAGGGAAGGGGTGGCCGGCGGGTGGGGTATGGGAGGGAGGTGGCCCTGGTGGCCTCCAGTTCTGTTCCCCAGCGCTTACTGAGCATCTGACGTGGTGTGCCCGGGGCATGGACCTGAAGGTCATCATCCTGCACCGGGACACAGGGAGGTCACAGTCCTGCTGGGGAGGTGGCAGTTACTCACCTGACACAGGGCTGCGTGCTCCCGGTCTGAGAAGGGGCTTCCCAGAGGAAGTGATTCTGGTGAATAGGAAGGACCAGAAGAGCCGCGAACGGGAGGTTGTCCGTCCAGGGACGTCCTCTGAGAGCCTTTCCCGGCCTGCCCAGCAAGCCTGTGCTTTGTTCCCTGCCCAGGAAACACCCCGACACTCAGGAACCCCTCCAGATCCTGTACATCCGCAGCATCTCCCCTTTCCCCGAGCTCGAGCAGTTCCTACAGGACACCATCAAGAGGTACGAGGTGCCCAGAGGCTGGGGCTCCGGTGCGGGGGGCTCAGCAGTGCCCACTTCTGACCACAGCCCCCTTCCTTCCCCAGGTACAATCTACGGGTCTTGGAGGCTGAGGGAGACATGAAGCAGGCCCTGAGGGAGCTGCGGGCGCAGCACCCCCAGCTGGAGGCTGTCCTGATGGGCACCCGCCGTACGGACCCCTACTCCTGCAGCCTCTGCCCTTTCAGCCCCACCGACCCCGGCTGGCCGGCCTTCATGCGCATCAACCCGCTGCTGGTAACGGGGTAGAGGCTGTGGGGCCTCCAGTCTCCCCGTCCCTACTCCCCGTGGGGGAGCGGTTGGAGCCTGGGGCTCAGATGTAGGAACACCCGCCCGAGGGAGGCTCCTCGGGCCTGAGCGCTGCCCACTGCACCCTGAGAGCAGGCGCGCACTCTCTCCCGCTAGGTCTGTGCTGCCCAGTGTGGGGGCCGCTGGCCACCCACTTACACTCAAGCTGCAGTTTCCTAAAGTTAAATAACTACTAAAAATGGGGCTGGTGGGAGGAGCGGGCCCCTGAGTGGGGGCCGGCGAGCTCGGGGAGAGGGCCAAAAGGGCAGCTTAGCCGGCGCGTGCCCACCTGTGGGTGGACGGCGGGGGGGAGAAAATAAAGAAAAAAAAGAACTACTAAAACCAACAAAATGGGGGCTTTAAAAGGATGAACTCAGTGGCCTGCGGAAAGTCAAAGTTCAGTCCCTGACCTGCACCAAGGTCATTTCAGGTGCCCATGTCAGAAGGCACAGCTGGGGCCCATTTCCACCCCTTCGCAGGCCGGCCTGCTCCCCGCGGGCTCGCAGACAGGTGCGCGGAGGGGCCAGGGCCGGGGGCAAGAGGAAGGCTTCTCTGCCACAGCCAGTGGCCTACCCGTGTAGGTCGGTGAGCCGCACCAGAGAATCAGCTAGGGGCCCGCCCTCGGGGACCAAGAAGCCGCACCCTGGGCGGGCTCCTCCGGGCGGCAAGGGGTCAGTGAGGGAGGGGACCCGTGACTCCGCTCTGACCTCCCAGGACTGGACCTACAGAGACATCTGGGACTTCCTCCGTCAGCTCTTTGTCCCCTACTGTATCCTGTACGACCGTGGGTAAGGGGTTCCGGAGACAGCGGGTATGGGGGAGACGGGATGTGGGGGGGCGAGCCTCCCCCACACTCACCTCCCTGCCCCCCCAGCTACACCTCACTGGGGGGCCCGGAGAACACGGTGCGGAACCCAGCCCTGAAGTACCTGAGCCCTGGAGGACAGCCGGCCTACCACCCCGCCTACCTGCTGGAGAATGAGGACGAGGAGCGGAACTCCCGCACCTGACCCCACACCTGACCCCGCACCTGACCTCGCACCTGACCTCGCACCTGACCTCACACCTGACCTCGCACACCTGGCCCGGCCGCAGTGGGGGACGGAGGTGCCCTGGGGTGTCAGCTGTCAATAAACTGTGTCTCTCTTGTCCCACCCGGGCTGTGTCTTCCTGCTCCAGGGGATGGGAGATGCCAGAGGGGACCCGGCAGCTCCCTGCAAGGGGGTGGCACGCGTGCGTGTGCGTGTGTGTGTGCACGCGCGTGCAGACTGAAAAGGAGCTCGCGGCACAATTCCCAAGGCCCGCCTCAGCAGGAGCCCCCCAGACGGCAGGAGCCTGGAGTTGTACCGGGCACTGGGGGAAGAGGTAACGCCGCAGGCTTGGCCCCAAGATCTGGAGACCTGGGCTGGAAGCCGAGCAGGCCTGGCTGTGGAGGATGGAGGCTGGGGTGGCCGGGCTCTCCCTCCCTTTCCCAACCCCAGCCTCCATCCCTGTCCACAGAGGCTGACTCAGCCCGTTCTTGAGCCAGAAGCTTCCCTGTGCTAGACCCTGTGGGCCTTTGTCCGTAGTCATGAGGCCTGAGGGGGTGGGGACACTGCTGATAAAAGGCCCCAGAGGCGGCTCCCACACGCCCCAAAGCTGCTGCCCTCATGCAGCCCCGGATGCAGCCGCTAGCCCAGGCCCTGCCCTTCTCCTTCCGGAGGGCCCTGCGAGACACTGGGCTCCGGGTGCCCATCATGAAGGTGGGCACGGGATGGGAGGGCCTGCAGCAGACCCTGAAGGAGGTTGCCTACATTCTCCTGTGTTGCTGGTGCATCAAGGAGCTGCTGGACTGACGATGGCCAGGGAGGGCCCCGACCTCAGCTCAGCGCAGGTGGGCAGGGTAGGGCAGGGCAAACAGGAAGCACGGCCGCTGCTTCAGGGCCAGAGCCTGCCTCTCAGCCTCCTGTTCTCTGCTCTAGCACCCAGCCCAGCCCCCATCGAGACCCCTGGGGCCCGCCATGCTCCACCATGGAGGGGCCCCAGACACTGTGGGAAGTGTGGATCTTGCTTCCGGTGTGCCATCTGTTGGTCTGGCCTCTCGGGACCTCCATTCCCAGCCCCCACCTCGGGTGGACCTCCAGAGCCCAGGAGCTCGGCCTGCTGGCCGGGACCCCAGGAAGACCGCTGCAGGAGCTGGCATTTCTCCAAGCCTGGCACAGTGAGCCCCCCAGCCCAGATGGTTGATTTCTCCATGCTCTCTTAGTGCCAGGAAGGGGCTGCCCCCAATCTCTCTGCTTTGAGAGTCACTGAACTATGTATGTGTGTGCATGTACATAGATGCATGTGTGAGTATACATAAAATAAACAGGCCTTGGAGCCTAAAGTTCTAACTGTCTGAAAGGGAATCAGAAAAACTCAGCCCTGGAGGGGTCTTGGAGCTAGGGTACAGACCAGGGAAGAAAAGGTTGTCCTGGACAGAACTGAGATTTAAAAAAAAAAAAAAAATAGCTGTTCTGACTCCCTGATGTCGGGGCAAAGAGGCTGGGGCTGGAACGGTCGGCTTCCTCCCAACCGGTGAATAGGGAGGGGTCCAGCCTGGGTGGGGTCTCCTTCTGGGAGACGCTGTGCCTTAGACTGGAAACCCAAATAGAAGGGCTGGTCTGGTCAGGTCCCTGCCTCTGAAGATCTGGGGCAGAGCGCTAGGCCAGTGCGGGTCCGCAGCTCACAGAGGACGTTGGGCCCTGCTCCTCCAGCTCCAACAGGCGGCTACGGTGAACCGTGCCTGTGCGGCCACCCAGGCTCCTGGGGCTCACTGCAGAGTGGGCACAAACGGCCAGAAGGAACAGAACTAACTCCACTTTCCCCTGGCAGCCAGTGACGCGTGCTTCCCCCCCAAGTCCCGTAACTCCACCGTGGACAGCACCTTGCTCACGCTTGGTGGCAGGCCTGCTCTCAGCCCCCCACAACCTCAGAGCCAGCACGCCCCGGCCCCGGCCTCCCCTCCTGGGGCACAGGCCTAGAGATGGTTTACAGGACCTTCTGCTCACTCCCAGCGACCAGCCTTTCCGCTGACTTGCGAGTTCAGTCCTTGTTCTCTGGGCCTATAGTGCCTCTTGTTGGGAAGGTAACAGAGACCCAGAGTAAGCAGTTGCGCCAGTGGGACATGACCCTCCCTCCTGGCCCCCATCCGCCCCCGGCGCTCCTGCCGGGAGCCGGTCAGCTTTACCCGTCCCTTGGAGAGCATTCCAGAGATAGTCTGTGCACGAGCTGCATTTGCTCCATAAATGTCACCGAGCCCCCGCTCGATGCCGGGTGGGGGGCTTTAATATGGTGGTGATCCCAACAGGCCCCTGTGTACTCGGGGAGCTGCTGTTCTCGGGGGCAGACCCAGGAAATAATGACAAAAGAATAAGTGTAGCGGTGTTATTGGGGGATAGGTGCTCTGGAAAAGAGAAGTTGAGGTGGGGTGGGTGTGGGGCAGGTCGCAGAGGGCCACACAAGCCGGGTAAGGAGGGCTTCCTGCAGAGGGACAAGAGAAAGCTGTCGTGGGGTCTTCACACTGGCTGCTGTGTGAAGAACAGACTTTGGGGCGCAAGGCTTGGACAGGAGAGCCCGATCAGTAGGCCACAGGCACCGTCTGGACCCGACGTGCCGGTGGCTCAGAGCAATGGAGACAAGTGGCCGGCCTGAATGTGTATGTGTTCTTTTTCTGTTTTTTATTTTTAAGACTTTCCTTGGTTTCAAATAATCTCTACACCCGACACAGGGCTCGATCTCACACCCCTGAGATCACCACCTGAGCCAAAACCAAGAGTTGGGCTCAACCAAGTGTACCACCCAGGCGAGCCAAGATGATTTTTTTTTAAATTTTATTTATTATTTGACAGAGAGAGAGATCACAAGTAGGCAGAGCGGCAGGCAGAGAGAGGGGGGAAAGCAGGCTCCCCGCTGAGCAGAGAGCCCGAGCAGAGAGCCCGACGCGGAGCTCAATCCCAGGACCCTGAGACCATGACCTGAGCCAAAGGCAGAGGCTTTAACCCACTGAGCCACCCAGGCACCCCCTCAAGATGATTTTTTATCCCAGCAGCGGGCAACCCTCTCTAGGCACTAGGCACCCACATGATGAGCTCAGTGCTCTTGCCAGGCCCCTCTGACCCCAACTGCACCCCAGGGCTTACCAGAGGGAAGGGAGAAGTTCCTGAATCCAACCATAGAAAGGCTGGTGGCAGAGGAGGACACAGAAGTCACCTTCCTGCAGGAGTGTGCGGCTCCCAGGACCCCCCCACAATAGCCTACACCTGCTTGGTCAGCCCCTCCCTGACTCAAGCTCTGGCCTTCTGCCTCCCTTTCCTTTCTTGGGCCCTGCTCCCACCCAGCTGGGACGGTGCACGGAGGTGGACCCTGGAGTCTGAGAGCTCTGAGCTCCAGCGCCTTTGCCGGGAAGGGGGTGTCCGGCAAAGACCCCCAGGGGAAGTGGTGGATGGAGGATGGGAGAGCCCCGGAAGTGAAAAGAGGGATCTGCGGTGGCCCGAGGCCAGTGTCAGCTATCCAGAGAGCCCTGACGATGGAGAGGCGGAGGGGAGGGATGGGGAGAACAAGGAAAAGCTTGCCTATACTCGGAGAGCACACCGCTGACACTCCAAGTGTACGGAGACCAACACAAGTCCACCTGAGAAGCAGACAGGCGAGGGCAGTCCTCCCACACGAACTGGAAGGAAACGGGCCCAGAGAGGTGGGACGCATCCCGTGCAAGGTCATGCCCATGGCGCTGCAGTGGGGAGTCAGCCGGTGAACCGTATTTTCTCATCTCAGCTTCAGGGCTTCTCTGGACCAGCCAGCCCCCCTGTTTTGAAATAGTCCTGGGGCAGGGGTGAGCAGGCCAAGATGTGGAGAGGACCAGAACCCACCCCCCAGCTGCACCCCCTCCCATTCCCACTCCCACCCCCACCCTAAGCAGCTCTTGTTCTTGCTTTCTGAGGGCTCCTCTGGGGGTCCCAGCTATGCCTTTTCTGCCTAAACCACACAGGCCAGGACATGGTTCTCTGGTCTACGCCTCTCCCCTCCTCTCCAAGGGAAAGAGATGCAGCAGCTTCCCCACAGCGTTCTCCGCCCGACTGGAGGAGGCTCAGGTGTTCAAACTACTGTCATGGGGCAGCAGAAGCGGGGAGTGGAGGGCCGAGGGGGACGATGAGGGACATCTTATTTACCCCGAGTGCCCAGGGGCCCTCCGGGGGCCACAAGGGGTAGGGGAATGGACGGTAGAGCCAGGAAGGAGCCTCCGCGGAGCTGTTAGGGACCCCACAGGCCACAGCCCTGGGAGGAGCAGCCTGACACCCAGGACTCCTAGCAGATTAGTGGGATATAAGACCCCAATGGTGTGCGAAGGACAGGTGGAGGCTCGGGGTCCCGGAGAAGGGGTCTGGGAGCCTCGCGGAGCACAGCGGACTATTCCGGTAATGATCTCGGATGGGGCCCGTGTCTTCAGGAACACTCAGAAGCGGACGGGAGGAGGGCGGCGGCCGTGGTCCCCGCCGCGGCGGAGCGCACACCCGCAAGGGCACAGGCTCTTCCTCGCGTTCCTGTTCGCGTCTCGTTTGCACCGCAGCCCCTCCCCTCTGAAAGGCCCCAGCCCCCCTCTCGGGCGCTCCCCGCCGAGCACCTGCTCCGGTCCTGGCCAGCCTCGGAGGCGTGCCAGCTCGTCCCGCCACGCTGGGGCCCCCCGGCCGCCGCCCTCGGTCCCTTCCGTCCCCGCCGTCCCTCCCGGGAGCCCGACACCCGCGCCGCCTGCTGGCTGCCGGGAGGGCAGAGGGGTTCCGCGCCGCCTTCCCTGGGACGTGGAGTTTTGGAAAATGTTCCCCGAGCTTCCTGAGGCTAAATTTATCTCCCCCGGCCGTGGGGGGGCGCAGAGATCCCGGGGACGATTAGCTCCGAGGCGCAGCCGGCTCCTGCGCGGGGGCCCGGAGGAGGCGCCGAGTTATAAATAGTGCGCCCGCAGGTGTGGGGGGAGTCGGCGGGAGGGGCAACCCTGGCAGCCACGGCCCCTTCAGGTGGGTTGGGCGGTCGCAGTGGGGGCGCCGGGCGGGGGGGGGGCTGCGGTCTGAGCGCCCCCAGCGGTTTCCTGGGCGGCGGGTTTTTCGAGGGAAGCGGAGGCAGCCGAGGCAAGGGGGTAGCGGGGAAGAGGAGGGCGCCCAGGGCAGGCAGGCTGACGCTCCGCTTCCAGCTCAGCAGCACCCCCCCCCAACCCTCCAAGACAGGCCCCCAGACCCACTCACTCAGGACCCCGCCCAGACAGAGCCTCGCCTTTCTTCGGCCAGAAGCCCTCTCCCTCCAGGCTCTGCAAGCCGCTAACTTGTGCAGCTGCCCCTGAGCGCACGTGGCCCGGCCAGTCCCTGCACCTGGCTGTCCCGCCGAGTCGCTGTCCCCAGCCCCAGCACACCCCCCTAGGACGTACTAACTCCCAGCCCGGGCTTTCATCCTCCGCCCTGGTCAGGCCCATATAGTCCCATGTCACTCCCCCGGTATCTACCCACCTCCCTCCACTTTCCCCCTCTCCAAAGTGAGGTCCAGCTGGTCTCCCAAGACTTATGTCTGAACCTGCGGGTCTGGGTTGCCCGGCTCTCCCCAGGAGGCCCCCGCAGGCTCCACACCTGCCCTCCAGACCCCAGTGCAAGTCCGGGCCTGGTGGCCGGGCAGAGTTGGCAGCGGGCCCCTGGGGCCTGGCCGGGGCTTGGCGGGAGCGGGCACAGGACCCAGGCAGGGTTTCCCAGCCCGCAGGCTGTGGTTTGGCGCGGTAAGGGCCAGGAGCTGCGGGGGACGCGGGAACTTCAGGTCAGGTCCCCTCTCCGCTTCTGAGCCAGGAAGGGATCCTTATGGACCAGAAGAGAAACCTGGGTAGTGTGTGTGGGAGGGGGAGAGGGGCGGGTTTGTCCCTGAGAAACAAACTGGAGGTTCCAGAACTGTCCAGAGTATGGAGAATGGCACTCCCGTTGCCTGCAGGTCCAGAGTGGGTCCAGCAAGAGTCCAGAGGCGACCCTGAGAGGTGGGCCGCGGCGGGCCCGAGGCACCGGGCGCCTTTCATTTCTCTGGACCTGGGGGCTGGTGCCAAGGCGCCCGCCCTCAGAAGGCCTGCGGAGGCCCAGGCTCTGCCCTCCCCGAGCCGCCTTCCCGCCCTCCTTCCCCGGGCCATCACGTCCCCCCAACTACGAAGCAGCCCCCTTTCCGGTTCACGTGCGCGTCGGGCCCTGCCGTCAAGCCCCTGGCACGACTCTTCCCCCGCGCGACCCCGACGGCTGGAGAAGGGAGGGGAAAGCCCCGGCCTGCCGCCGCCCCCCCCGCCCCCCCCCCGGTCGCTCTCCCAGCCCTCACCAACCAGACTCTGCCCGGCGGGGCCGAGAAGAAAACCCGGAGCCCTGACCCGCCGCGGGGCCCAAGGGGGACAGGGACGACAGGAAAACCCGGAGCGGATTCGGCGAGCGGGAGCGCCCCGGGCTTGCTGGTGCCCCCTCCCTCCTACAGCCCCTCTAATTCTCCAGTGAGATAATGTCTGAGGTGGGGGGCTGTTTGGCTTGGCCTTGGCCCTGAGGGGCGCCTCACACTTTCCGCCCCTGGCTGGGGCGCAGGGCAGCGGCTCCGAGGCTGAGTCACGGCCGGAGAGGGAGGGAGGGAGGGAGGGACCAGGACTCCGCCCCTCCCCCAGCGCGGGGATCCCGGGTCAGCCCGGGTGAGGGCCAGGGCCCCCTGGCGCCGCCCACTGTGGTCCAACAGGTTGAGCTGGTGTCCCGCGGAGCCACCTGCTGGAAAGGGAAGGAGGCCCCCTGCGGAGGGGGCTGGGGAGGAGAAATCGAGCCGGACCCGGTTCGGCCCGGCCGGCCTCGGGGAGCGGAACCTGGCCCGCGGTAGCCGGATTTGATTCCGTTTTACACCAGTGGGAGGGGCTCCCCGGGGTGCGCCGCGCGGCAGGCCCCGCTGGAGGCGTCCCTCGCCGGGAACCTTCCTCTCCGGCGGGGGCACTGAAGCACGTATCCTGCCCCCCTCCCCGGCCCGCACACACATCTGGAAACACCCGGGCCCCCCGGGCCCCCCGGGTCTCCGGCCGGATCCCTGGCCCGAGGTTCCCACCCTCGCGGAGACTCAGTTTCTACACTTAGGGCACAGGCGGGATGGAGGCGGGGTGCGGGAGCGAGAGCGCGCCTCCCCTCCCCTTCGCGGCCCCGGCTCCTCCCCTCCGACAATGCCAAGGCCGCAGCGGGCACCGGCCGGAGCGCAGAGGCTGCCTGCCCAGGGCGCCGTTCCCTCCCCGCGGGGCGCCGTCACGCGTGGGGAAGGACGCAGGGTGCCCGCAGCCTCCACTCCCCCGCTCCCTCAGCGTCGGGGTGGGGCGTAGGAGCTGGAGCTGACGGCCTGGTTGCTCTCCCTCCCCCTACCTCCCGGGGCACTGACCTGATTATTGCCCCTCACGGGACCCCCCCCTTCAATCCCTTAAGTCCCCGCCTCACCCCCACTTGGCCTATCCTTAACCTCTCATACCCTTCCCTCCCGAGGAGGTGACCGTACAAAGGCCCCGCATGGAAACCGAGAGCCCTTGAGGGGGGCGCGGGCTCCCGGGCCACTGCGGACACTGCCCCCTCCCCCTTTCCCTCCTCCAGGTTTCAGGCCAGCCCCTCGGCTCCGCCCCCTCCCTGGCGGAACGCGAGGCAGGACCCGCTTGAAATGGGCGGGTGCGCAGGCCAATGGGCGGGCAGGGCGGTGGAGTGCAGGGGGCGGGGCGGAGCCGCCGCGGAGGGCTGGATGGGGGTTGGGGGCGGAGCCCGAGTTAAGGTGGACTGGGAGAGATAGGGGCTGGAGGAGAAAGAGGGAGAGGGAGGGGGGAGAGGGACCGCGGCAGGTGGAGGGAGAAAGAGACCGAAGGAAAGAAGGAGGGAAAAAGAGGAGGGTGGGAAAGGCTCGGAGAGCAAAGTAAAAGCTTGCAGGAAGGGAGCGAAAAGGGAGGGAGGGAGCTATCTGCGCCCTGCAGGCACTGGCTGGACCGAGGGGTTGAAGTTTATATCCTTATTGGGCGGAGGGAGGGGGACCTGGGGGGGCGGGTGAAAAACCAGGAAGTGACAGAGGGTGTTGCTAAGGATTGGGGGGGGGGAGTTTGGGGGGTGGCAGGGGGCGGGGGGAGGGAGGGGAGGGATGGGGGGAAAGCCAGCGGGAGGACAGGTGAGACAGCAGGACAGGTGAGGCGGGCCCTGTGGGGGGGCGGTGGGAGCCAGGTGAATGTACGGTTCTCGGCGGCCGAGGGGGGGGGCGGGCGGCAGGAGGAGGCCGAGGGCTGCGGAGGAGGAGCCCCCCAGCAGAGAGCGGCGAGCGACTGACCGCGGCCTTCTGACCAGGACCGGAGCAGGGCCCCAAGCCCCCGGGCCCGGCGGGGGACGCGCTTCTCTCCACACCCTGTGCTTCTGCAGTTCCGGCCCGCGGACCCAAAGGCGGAGAGGTGAGTGTACCCTACTTTTGTCTCCGGCTCGGGGTCCCCCAGACGCGAGACTACTGCAGTGTCCTTCGTCTGTCCTGTAAGTGGGACCCCCCCCACGCACACACACACGCACGCTGACCAGACTCCCACCACTCCCCTTCCCCGTGCCTTCCCGGCACCCCGGGTCTCTGGAACGGATTTTAACCGCGAGGAAAGGTGGGCGGAGGGTCCCCAGAAACTTTCTCTGCACTTCTGGGATCAGACAGCCCGGCGGCCCGGGGATGGAGAGGGGTGAGGCGGCGCCGAGCGCTGCCCCGGTCTCCGCCGTGACTTGCGGGGAGACCCCCGACCCGCCCGCGCTGAGGGAATGGAAACGCTGACGGACTCTAACTAGGACAAGCGGGCCCCCCCCCCACCGCGCCCCCTGGCGCGGTGGGCTGGACCCGGGCCAGTGGCACTGGGGGCGGGGGGAGCGCAGGAGGAGCCGCGGCTGGGGGGAAAGTTACCGGCTGGACTATTCGGTTTCCTGCGCCTCCGGAGCCGCGCTCCGTCTCCAGTAGTGGGGCTCGGCGGCGACCTCCGAGCGACACAGATCGACCCCTCCGCCCCAGTCCCTTCCTTCGGGCGCAGGTCCCGTCGCCACCCTCCCCGGGCCGGCTCGTGCCCCCAGAACCCGAGAGCGGGGGTGGATGACCGGGAGGAGTTCTACCCCCACGCGTCTCCCCCGCCGGCGCCCGCGCACCTGCCCCTCCACAGAGTGGGGGGCGCTACTGTGTAGTCGTGGAAGCCACTGGGAGCGCCGCTGGCAGAGGGCTGCCATTCAAAAGGGTGGGGGGCGCCGCTTTCCACTCCCAGCTTTCGCTCTCTCCTCCCACCCCACCCCGAGGAAGAGAGCGACGTGTCCCGGCCACAGCGGTGGGGGGGGGATGGGAGTGGGGGGGGCGGCGTGGGCAGCGGGTTGTGCCCGGACACGTGCCTGCCCAGGCGCCCCGGCCCTGCTGGTGTTTGGAGAGAGGGCGGGTCCCCTGCCCCCCGCCCCGCACAACCCCCACGTATCAAAGGGCGGCTGAGACGTGGTGAGACCTCGGGGCGCCCTGGGGGGGGGGGGCGGGGAGCCTGGGTCCGGAGCAGGGGAGGGGCAGAGGCGCGGGTGCTAGCTGACCCACAGGAAACGAGCGCCGCTGACCTAGTTTGGGACACCGGAAGTGGGTGCTGAGGAGAGGGGGAGACCAGCAGGCTGTCCCGGCTTCCGGGCCAGGTGGAGGGCGTTCTTGAACTGACCCCCGCCTGAACGCCCTGCAGACCCCCAGCTGCAGCTGGGAATGGGAGTGAGTCAGCGCAGCGGTTCCCCTGCCCCCAGCTTATTCCTGAGAAGGGAGGCAGCTCCTGGGGGCTGGGGAGCCAGACTGAGCGGTGAGGGGTTAAACCAGGATGGGGACTCTGCTCCCCGGGGTATACGTGTGCGCGGGGGAGGCCTGGAGGACTGTGGGGTTGCCTCCTGCCCCCCCCCAGACACACACCAACTGGTTTGGTCACCCCTGTACCTGCCTGGCACTGCTGGCCGTGCTGGCATGGAGTGGGCATCAGGCTGGGGGGGAGAGCGGGCACAAGGAGCGTTGTGCAGGGCTGGAGAGGGACGTATTTGTGACTGAGTTTGGGTGGCAGTTACTGTTCCTGGTCGTCGGTGGTGACTGGGGAGAAGGGCAGGGGGCTCCCCCTGGAGCAGCTGATGAAACATGAAGAAATCTCTGTCACTGTCTCCTGCCGCGGCCCCCGGGGCCCTTGCTCCCCCAGCGAGCCTCCGCGCCATGGTTGCCGCGGGCACAGTGGAGTCTGCTGGCACCCCCAGACACTGTCCCCTCCCTCGGGTACCACAACCCCCAGCCTCAACACAGGGGTCAGAAAGGGGTCACTGTCACCCGAAAGGGGCTCTGGGGAAGGAGGAAGGCAGTGCCCACCAGGTTCAGGTGTCAGGGACAGAGGCCTGCTCCATTAGGGCCGTCTCATCACCACACAGCTCTGGCTGATATGGACCCAGTATCTGGGAGACAGGTGTTGACCTCGTCCCCCTTCCCCGCGGTGCCCCCTGGCACCCAGGGCCCCCAGCTCCTCCTTGGCCTAGTGCCCGCCCGGGGAGGGCGCGGCGGGCAGCGGGGGCTGGGCTAACAATGCACCATCGGGCCCTTTGTGTGCTTGCACTTGGCACCCTGGGGAAGGGTGGGGGAGGGGCCCGGCGGGCATGGGGGGCGGAGCGCCTCCGGTGGGGACGGTGAAGGCTGGGGGAGAGAAGCAGAGAATGAAAGCAGGTGGGGAGGAAAGGGAAGTAGGTCAGATAGGGTGCTGGCCCCCCATTCCAGGCCGAGGCTGAGAGGACCAGCCCCTGCTCCTACAGCCTCCCAGGTGGCACCATGCTGCCTGAGGCACTGCCTAGGACCCGTCATTTGGGGTCAGAAGTCACTGCCCAGGGGACTGCTCACATGGAGGAAGCCTGGCCTGGTACTGCCCCCTTCTTGGTGGCTGAGAGACCAGTTCTGGTCCAAAGCCAAGGCCCTACGATGGGTAGTAAATGGGCTCCAGGCAGGGCACTGCCCTCTAATAGGGGCCTCTAGACCTGCTTCGGGGCTTCCTGCCTCTGGCCTGCTTGGTTCTGTGACCTTCTGAGAGTTGAGACTGCCCTGCTACCAGGCCTTGGGGCCTATGGCTGTTTTGGCCTAGGGCTGAAGAGAAGAGTGGGGGGAGGAAGGTGGGGACAGGAGACGGATAGGACCCTGGCATGGGGTGTGCCCGCTCTAGCCTCTTCCCCCCTCCTTCTGCTGAGTAAACTCGTGAGTAAACTTGACGTTTTGCCCGGACAGTTTGAAGTTGCCTTGCTACCCCCCCACCCCCAGTCCTGCCAACACACAGGCGGCCAAGCGCCAAGACGGGCCTGGGGGACTGGGGGGAAGGGGTTAGAGCTACTGTAGTCCACTATCAGGGGCTTTGGAGGGGCAAGGAAGGCCCCCCCACCCCCACCCAACCAGCAACACTCAGGTCTTGGCAAGAATCTTAGCTGGGGCCTGTAAGAATGTGTCTCAGAGCCTTGGGGAACCCGGGGAAAGTGGCCTCGAAACAGAGCCTCTACCCACTTGTGACCTCCACCCCCACTTAAGGAAAGGCACCCAGCTACCATCTGGCCCCTTGCATTGCCGCCTCTGATGTTCACAGGCTGCCTGGCCCAGAGGGAAAGCCACCTTTAGCAAATTCCACGGGGAGACCGAAGAGGGCTGCCCTCTCCACTGCACCCTGTAGTTGAGGTGGGTGGGAGGCTGTGGCCTCGGTAACGTAGGCCCCTCTGCACTGAGGCCCCCCAGCTGCCATGGAAGGTCGCACCCTCATTTGCCAGCATGATTCCTTGGACTCACACCTGGGCCTAACCCCACACCTAGCTCCTTTCCCCGAACTCCCCATCGGACCTGGCCCTGACTCCCCCAACCTCTTCCCCTGCCTGCGAGCATCCCAGAACCAAGTCAGTCTTCAGAGTTCCGCAGCGAGCAAACACCTGTGCGGGATCCAGGGGTGGGGGTGCCCCACCAAAAGAGGGCTTGTGGCGGGCAGATGGACCCAGTGAGTCCCCCACGAACACACCAGTTTGCTACCAGTTGGTATCCCTAATTCCTCTTATGCCTTCCCAGTTCCTGCCAGGCTTCGGAGTGAGGCGCTACCAGGCCTCTGCCTTCAACCTCATGTCTCTGGCTTCGGTTTCCTTCCTGTTTCCCCCCCCCCCCCACTCCTCCCCACCCATATGCCCCTTTCAACAGACATCCTCTCCTCCTTCCTTCCTCCTTTCCTCCCCTTTGCCTGGGAGAAGGGGTCCTCTTCCCCTCCACCACGGATCTCCTAGCCTTTTACCTCTTCTAAAAAGGAGATTTCTGGCCAGATCCCCAGCTCTGCCCTCCTCACCTGGTCAGCAAGGCTCTGGGGAGGAGAATGCAGGACTTCTCTTCAGGGAACTACAACTCCCAAGGTACATGCAGAGTAACTGTGGTGCATCCTGGGAGTTGTAGTCCTCACGCTCTCAATTTGGTGCATTCTGGAAGGGTTGCTAGATGGGAGTAAAAGCCAGGACTGGGATGAATTGGGACATGGGTGCTCTCTGCATCCCACCCACCCCGCTTCACCCTGTTCTCGCCGTCCTGTGCCCACGTAACACCACGTACCCACGACTAACCTCCCTCCTCTGCTGGGACATGCTGCCATTCTTACCTTAGCACCCCACCCAAGAGATGCCCCACCCTGACCGCTGCCCCTGGCAGGGATAACACTGAGGGGCCCCATGAACCCCTTCCCTGCCCCCTGCCCTCCAGGCTGGTTCCCTGCCTTTATGGGGATCAAAGGGCAGAGAGCAGCCCCACCCCACTCCCTTGCCGGCTGGGGGCACCAGGGCTCTCAGGAGTTGCGGGGACTTTGGTGCCCAAGCAGATGCTTAGGCAGAGGGAACGCTGGGAGGCTGGCACCCACCTTGAGGGACGGAGCTTTCAGTAAGTGCTCACGGGGCCATCCACAGGCTGCTGGGGGCCCCGAGTAGGCCCTAACTTGCACCGGGCCTCTAGAGGCGATGGCTGGAGAACAGGGTCTTGAGCCTTATCTGTCGGACCTGGGGACTGGACCCGTCTGGCTGGCACCAGGGCTCAGGGGTGGCCCTCCCCCACCCCAGGCCCACAGTTGGCATGGGGCGCTGGGAGCAGGGGGCAGGAGGGAGAGGAGGGCAGGACTGCCAGCATCCTGGTGGGTAGGTGCCAACCGGGCTGGGAGCTGGTGAGGGGCAGCAGGCCAGCGGCGTTGAGCCAGCAGCTGTTGGGGGGAAAGGGGAGGGGATGTTTCAGGGGCATTTCAGTGGTCCTCACCAACCCAGGAGGACTTGGATGGGCCTCATGTCTGGGGAACATGAGGGCACCCCTTGTTCCAGGAATAAGGGACCCTAGGAGTTGTTTCGGTGGAACTGTGTGGCCCACCCATCTCCGGGCTCAGAGCCTTCCTGAGCTGCCCCTCGGGCCCAGGCGGGTCCCACCCAACCGGCCAGGGTGGCGGAGGCTTGCGCAAGGGGTGGGGCTAGGCGCTTCCCAGCAGATGCCCCCTCCTGGCTCCTTCCTCTTTCGGTGCCCACAGCTCCCCCCCATCTGTCCACCCCCCTCAGGCCAGCTCTGTCCCCGGGGTCCCCTGGCCACTGGGGGCTGGTACATGGGCTGCCCCCTAGCCTGGTTGGCAGGGGCTGGCACCCGGGCAAGGAACTGTGGTATGTGAGTGGGTTTGGGGTGAGGCATGGGGAGGGCGGGGTGCTGCCTTGCCCAGCCCCCGAGGGCCCCAGCCCAGGACAGGGTGGGGAGAATTCGGTCAGCTCCTAGGGGTCTCAGGGGCCCACTGGGGACCGGAGGGCTTCCCTGTGGCCCTCCTCGGTGCCACATGCCCTGAGGGGCCGGGACCTGGGCACCTGTCAGCCCTGGCACTGTCTGTCCAGGGTTCCCCTCCTCCTTCTTCTGGCCACTGCTGCCTCCTGTCCCCTCCCCTCCCTTCTTCCTTCTCCCAGTCCCACCTCCAGCAGCCTCTCCCGTGGCTCCTCCTCACCTCTGTCCTCCTGGACTGTCCCAGCTCCTACCGTGCCTACACTCACCTTTTTCCCCTTTCAGGACTGAGTAAGGCCGAGCGGGGGTGGGTACCGCCGGGGCTTTGGGCACCACAGGCAGAGACTTCAGGCCCTCTCCCACGCTGCCAGCCCTCTGGTAACCCCTCCCCCCAGCTTGGAGGGAGGGGGGACAGCACCCAGAGGGTTAAGGCTCTAGGGGGGAGGGGCTGGGCCAGGTCGTGGGCGGCCCCTTTGAAGGAGGGAGCTGGAGCGGGGAACAGCCACCCCCCCCCCCCCCCCCAGCCAGGCCCTCCCCCACCCCTCCCAACCTGCTCCCCCAGGGGCCAAGAGGAGTTGCCGGCAAGGCCCCTCAGCGCTCAGGTGAGTAGGCCCTGCTCCGGCTGGGGAGATCAGGCCCCAGGGGCGGCTTGGAGGCCTAGAATTGGCCAAGGGTCAGAGAGGGACTGAAAACAGGCTAGGAAGAGGGTGTCCAAACTTCCCTGGGAAGGTGGAGGGAGCTGAGGGTGTGAGGAGTGCTTCCAGGGGCCCCAGGAGGACTGAGAAGCAGAAGGGGCCTACAGGAGCCCAAGGACTGCTGGGCCAGGACAGGAGGCTGGACAGGCTGGCAGGGAGCCGGGCTCCGGGGATCGGGCTGGGGTGTCCTCTGGGGCTGGGGGGGCTCAGGTTTCTGCCTGTGGCTTGGCGGGTGTGGGGTTACCAGGCGGCTCGGTTACCCAGCCTGAGACGCTCGGCTGGGGGGAGGGGGTGGGCACGGGGCAGACCCTGGCACCTTATGCCGGCTCCTCGGGCCCTGAGGGGAGAGGGCATTGCCTAGGCAGGTCCCGCTTAGAGCCCTGACGGTGGGGGTCTATCCTGGTACCGTCGCCTGGCCCAGGGTGGGTACCCTCCGGGGAAAGCCCAGCAGTTCCAGGGCTGGAAATTCTGACGGGCAGAGAGGCCTAGGTTGTCCCCCCCACCCCACCCCACATCCGCTCTCTCCGCACCAGCCCCCCCCACACCGCCACCATCCTCCTCAGCTGGCCCCCAAATTTCGGTCCTGTGCTTCTTCTAGAAGGGTGGCATGGATCCCCTGAGTGCGGCCATCCTATGGCAAGACCAGGCCTTGGAAGGCAGGCCTGGCTCTGTGACTCGATTCCCCAGGGCCCTCTCTCTACCGGCCAGCCTGGGCAGAAGAGAGCAGATGCTCAGAGCAGGGCGGGATGGAGGAAGCGGGAGAGGCTGGAGTGGAGACCTGAGGGTAAAGAAAGGAGCGGGCAGGGCGGCTCCTGGGGGCCAAGGGCTGAGGAGGCAGGAGGCTGGCCAGGGCTGAAGGAGGGACAGCAGGGATGCGTGGCGGAGCAGGCACAGGGTGGGCCGGTCAGCAAGGGGACTGGAAGGGGAGGCCAAGGATGGGGGCCCCAGGCATGGGGCAGGGGTCCCCAAAGGTGAAGGAGGAAGGCTGGGGAAGGGAATTGCCCCCCTTCCCTCCTCTGCCTTCGTCCCTCACACCCCCCAGTGTGGCCTGCAGGGCGGGGGCCATGGGCTAGAGCGGGTGTCAGGGAAAGAAATGTGGAGGGGCACTGAGACCTCTCTTGTTTCAGGGAGCACCAGGAATTGGGGATTTTGAGGGAGGAGAGGCTTAACCCCCACGGCACCGGGAAGCAGCCAACTCCCCTGGCCTCCTTCCCCCTTCGTGGCTTGCGGTCTCCCTTCCCCGCCTGGCCCCCAGGAAGTGTGAGTGCTGGGGGTGGTGAGGTTAGGAGGGGGGAAGCGGCATGTGGGGGATGGGCAGGGCACGCACTTGCTCTGAGGGGCTGGGGTGCGGACCCATGGGCTCTGTAGGCGCCAGGGCATCCCTGGGCCCGGGCTTCACCTTCTAGGCCCGAACCGTCCTTCAGGGGACTCCCTCAGCCCCTGATCCCGCCTTCCCGACTGGGCAGTCCAGGTGGTTCCAGACCCTGGGCTCCAGAGGCCCTGGGAAGAGGAGGAGAGCTGGGGAGCCAGGATTCCTGGGTCCCTGAGGACTTTGGACCTGCTGTCCCACTCCCCTACCCCCTGGTCCGGCCACTGGCCAAAGCCCCCCGCTGCGTGCAAACTGAGCTCCAAAAAAACAGGAAGAGAACCTGAGGCTGGAGTTGGGGCGGGGGCGGGAGGCAGAAAGGAGAAAGAAGTGGGGGGGTGGCTAGCCAAAATGGGGGGTGGGCGCTGGGGAGCGCCCCAGGCCCCCATCACCTGGAAGGAGGATGTCACAAGCTGACCTCACCCTCCCTCACCCTGAGCAGCTGCACCTGCAGAAGCCTTTTGGGTGGGGGGTGTCTGGGTGCCTGTGTCTCAGCCTCATATCTGTTCTCTCTGTGCTAATCCCAGCTCCGCCCACTGCCCCCCACACTAAGCCTCACTCCCCTAATCCCCAGGGTGTGGGGAAGGGGGGCCAGCTTCACTCATCTGCCCCTTGGGGGCCGGATCCCTGTGTCAGGGCTCAGGTGCCCCCAGGACACTGCCAGAGGTCAGCACCTGGAAAGACTTCTGGGCTCCTTTCCCTTCCCAGTCAAGGCCAGTGCTCTCCACCTTTTGTATCTTGGCTGGGGACACACCCCACAGGTGCCCCAGGACACTGAGGAGTTGGGGGTTTAGGGGCTCCTACCTTTGTCCCCTCCCTGCCTTTCCCACCCAGAGTCTTCCCCCCACCAAAGATGGGGCAGGCTTGACTCAGGGCCCAGTTTCAAGAGAGCTGCCCACCTGCTTGGCCGGTCTAGCAGGCCTGACAGTGAGGGGAGCCTGGGGGGGGTGGCGGGAAAGGGGGAGCGATGGGGCGGGGCCCCCAGTTCTTCCCCCTACCAGGCAAACAAACCAAACAGACCTTGCCTGGTTCCCTGGCACAGCCACCCCCCCCACCACACACACACCCATGCCCACAAGGCCTTAGCAAGAGGGGGCATGCCAGGCTGGGTGGGGATGGGCCGCCCTCATGGGGCGTCAGGGGGCTGGGCCCTTGGGGATGCAGATGTGGGAAGGGTGCCCAAGGTGGGGTGGGCATCCTGGCACTGGTGCCCCGCCCCCTAGATGATGCGGCTGTGAGTGCCCCCTCGGCCTGGTTGGCACCAGCATTGTTCTAGGCGGCATCTAAGTTGGCCTGGGCGCCAGAGCCCTGGGTAAGGGCTGGAGGAGTTTCCCAGAAGCTAGAGAACCTTAGAGCACCTCCCCTTCCTACGAGTGTCCTCTGCCTCTCCCCTCCTTCGCTGCTACCTCGTGGCCATGGGTACTGGACTTGGGCCTAAGGGGTTAAACACCCACCCTTGCCCAAGCACCCGGTGTGAGTTGCAAGCACTGAAGCAGCCTAAGCCCGTGACCTGACAGCAGGGTCAGCCAATCAGCACCCTGCCACGCCAAGTTGCCGCGGAGACCGGCCCTGGGGTGGGAGCAAGGAGGCGGGCCTAGAGGCAGGAATGGGTGGGGTGGGGAGGGAAGGAGGGAGAGGGCTGGGGCAAGCCACGTGCCTGCGGGTGCCCAGCTCCAGGCCAATGGACAGCGAGGACAGCCCCACCCATCCCCCTCGGGAGGGACAGGATCTGCCTGGGCGCAGGAGGGTGCCCACTGCTGCCACTGCCCACCCGGTTTTTGTTTGTTCCCAAGTCCTGGGGCCATTTGCCACTTGCTCTGTTTGTGAAGTGTGGGCAGGGAAGCAAAGGGAGCTGGGGTGGCTCCCAGGGAGAGAAGTGGCTTGGGAACTCCAGGTGGGAGCAGAGGGCTTGCTGAAGGCACCTGGGTGTCTGGACCAGAGAGGGGAGACACGTGGGTGCTGCTCCCCGAGGGTGCCCTGAAGGAGTCCCGGCGTCACAGGGAAGGTGACAGGCGGAGACAATGCGGTTCTTGTGTTCCCAAGGGGAAATCTGTGGCTCTTGACCCCCCCAGCTCCCCGAAAAAACCTTTTCCCTCCGCGGTGGGGCTGAGCAGCTGTTGGGAGTGGCAAAGAAGACACTGACCAGGGTGAGTGGGACCCGCCCTCGGGACCACATCGGTCAGCCTTTCCTATTACAGAGGAGGAAACCGGCTTCCTGGGGAAAGGAAGTGACTGATCCAAGGTCATGTAGCTCATAGTAACTTGACTCTTTGGGGCGATTTGAGGCAGGGAGACCCAGCTGTCCCCAAGCCTTCCCAGGAGAGGCCATTTGTGGAATCTGCCCCGGGCGAGGCCTCATTCCTACCTCCCAAGGCCAGAATGTTTATTGCACCCCCCACGTGGTCTCATTTAGCCGATGTCCCCACAAGCCTCCGGGTCGATGGAATTACCCGTAGAGTAGACTAGGAAGGAGGCTCAGAGACCGGTGTGTTTAAAGTCAAGGAACTCAGAGCCATAGGGGCAGGTTTCCCTCTCAGGCAGCCGACTTCAGAGCCCCTTTCTTTCCAGGCCCCCCCCCCCCCCCC